AATCGTTCATTTACATAAGCAAGCAATCAGAATAACAAAGGATGCTGTGATGAAGCTCATTGTCATAATTTTTCGCTGTCGTTTGCCAAGAAAAATATATTCTCTTTAGTATATTAAACGTATGAGGGCTTTGTGCTGGTCGTTTGAAATGTTTTGCTCGTATTGTGAGGTGTGACTCAGTGTTAGTATATTTATATGCAGGATGAAGACAAAATTACTACTAAAAACTAAACTAAGCTGTAATAATGTCACTTCAGACTCCTAAATATACATAATTATAATCATTATTTAAATCCAAAAGTTTCGACGAAATTATTCATTTTCATACTTTCACTATAATATTATCTTTCATATTGTCGTAAACTTGTCCACACCCCGTATTTCACATAACAGATTCCTTATCACCTTGAAGATCGAATAGCTGTGTACAAAAAATTGTTTTCTATTGTGTTTATCGTTTGGAGTAGGTAACTGAAATTCTTTATGATAGCAATTTTTGAATAATTGTAAATTGTGCTTTGGTAATGGAAATAAATTAGTAAACAGGCATGGAAATTACGAGTCAATTAAGAATTTGAAACAGAGGTAAGTTGAAACCTCACCAATTTATCAGAACATTTATTTATAGGTGCCTTGAATCGTAAACTAGAACAGCCCCTCTGTTGGGGCAGCGGGTTGCAAGAAATAAGCGAATTATGACGTTGTCAGCTTGGTAATGGTTTTAAGTTCTGAGAATTCGGTGGTGTTTCAACTCAAATTATGTTTCAAAATACCTTACTGCCACATTTGCCCTTCGAGGGTTCCCAACTTACGACAAATTAATAATAGCAGCAGATCAGTCTAGAGTTTACACTTAGGCTGGGTTGCACCATCCTACTTTAGCTTTGACAAACGTCAAAAATCTGTCAAACTCCATACAAAAACCACCGGTTATCCATAAAGTTACGATCAAAGTTAGGTGGTGAAACTCAGCCCTAGTTTTCGAATCGATCGTTTCATACATAGGTACTAATATTATATCAGGGCTTCAAAACCGCACAATATAGACCCTTCATTATAAGTACCTAAGTACTAAATTAGTTTCTGTTCAATTAATTCATTAGTATTACAATTTGTAACACCTAGGTTGCAAATAATTAACACATTTAACTAATTACTTGTCATAACTTAGGTGTGCATGCATATTCTATTGCTGCATATTCTAATTTAGGTGTTATGCTACTTCCATTATTCGATTAAAACCAACCTATGCTGTTAGTTTTGCATTTTCCATTTAATTATAACATTGAGATACAAAGGATATGGTCCAAGTTTAAACTAAATGAGACATAGCTTTGGTAAGGGTTTAAGTGGACAGAAAATAATTTGTTTTCATTAAATTATTTACGTAGGCTACTTAAACACTCAATAATCATTAATCCTCTTATAATAAAAAGTTACACCCGGGATGAACACTGGATTAAAATGACATTTCCATACCTACTAAAATAAAAAATAAAAAAATGTATTTATTGCCTTCGAACCATTAGACATAGGTAGGTACAGGTAGTTAGACTTATAACTAATAAGTACACCGAAGGCAATTGGACCTGGCTCAGTATACGTTGTAAGGACATATCCTTGCAACACTGGTTTTCAGCCATGCCCAATTCTCTAGGATGTTGAGCGAGAATAAAGTTATGAGGGCTAAACCAAAGTTTAACTAGGGTGTAACTTTTATTAATGGAGGTAAAACTATTGAGTTATAAAATAATTAAATAAATATCTTTGGACTTACGTTATGCTTTCATTTCCCTCGCTACCTATCAGGGTAAAATTCAAAATTAACCGATAATATTCATGTTACCTTGTAAAATTTTAATATCATCAAGCCCAACGTGGCAATGACGTTATGAAAATTGCATCGGCTTCATTAAGAGAGTATGTAATGGAATTTGCTCGTTTTCCGCTCGATTTCTCTCGCAAATAAATTAATGATGTATTGTAAATCAGGTGCCTCTCGTGTCACGGGAGGACCAATTACTAGAGTGCTTGCCCAGCGATTTTTCTTAATTGCCTTTTTACGGTCTAGTGCTTGTGCGATACGCAGTGTTTTAGTTAGTTTTTGCTTGTTTTTGTTTATATTATTATGAAAATGTAAGTTTATTTAAGCCCTAATTTTTGTGACAGTTAAAGTTCATAAAAATTGCAAAATTAAAGACACTTTAATTGCAAGAATTAATACACATTAAACGTATCCACAAGAAACAACAGTACTAAGTACCAATCGTGTGCGCTGTAATGGCGCTGGAGTTAGATTTTACGAGCTAGTAATCCTCTATAGGCGCCTGTAATGGCCCATGTACACTGTTGTACAACACTAAAGCAGTAACAAAGTAAGAAATATTGCTTCACCTTATTGTTCGACTCCAATCATCTTGAGTAATGAGTTAGCTTTAACTATCGTGTGAGTCTATAAGGCACAGACAAATTCTCGCACGGCGAGGCGAGCTAAATCCATGTTAGCTGTTGTGTGAGGAGGCTTGCATGTGATGCCACTCCGGCTTTGATTCATTTAGCTATCACAAATTGTGAAAGATGGCTCTTTTACCAGCTTTTGCGGGTTTATTCCCTTAAAACCTGGCGGATTTTTAGTGAGCGATAACTTTTGACATTTTCGTGGAAAAAAAGACAATTATTGTGAAGGAAAATGTAACGATTTCCCGTGATGTTTCCATCTTATGAGTAACAATGTGTAATTTTTATATTCAATTAATTAAACAGGTAAATAAAAAATCTAAGCGAAAAAGTACTAAATGCCATGCCAAGTTACCCAGATTGACTATAGTCATAATAATGATTGTATAACAGGTTATTTTAGACATCCATTATTATACCATGCTCATGCACTTTGAGCTAAGTCCATGGTAGACTTATTGCATGAGTTAGTATTAAAGACAGTTTCATACTGTAATGAAGCTCACTAAAGCTTATTATTATGTTCTCTCCACTACCGTTTTAGAGAGCATAACAAGCTTTATAAAACGAGTTCTCATTCAAGCACTAATCGGCACTGTGCAGTACTGTACGAAACACGTAAAGCGTCTAATCATGACACGATCTAACGTAACTTTCTAGAGCAAGATACTTCAGTGATATAAGCGTACAGTTAACTAGAATACCTACGAGTACTTTGCAAACTCATTTGAATAGAAATAGTTCTAGAGGCAAGCATCGCCGACAGATAACGCGAGCGTGCGTACTAATTGGAGCCACACGGACCGCGGACCGCATATAGCATTTCACATAGTACAGTCAGCTTGGTAAAAACATCCTCAATTTTATTATCTGATGTGCCGAATTTTTAAAATAGTTTCCACCATCATGAGCTGAACATGAGCAGTTTCTGATTCACCGCAATCTTCTTTATTTTCAGTAATATTAACACTCACGGAGTTGCCATGGAATATTTTTTAAATACATAACTGTCAGAGTGGTTTACCTTGCCACCGAAAACACGGTATAATCTCTAGGAACGATGGAATATTTCTTAGATCGGTATACGCCCACAAAAATGTAAGAAGTGCCACGTTCAATATACTCGTAAATAAGAAGTCTGGAGTTGACGGTGTGAGCAGAAAAATGACGACGCCTAAAAAGTACACCGGTCTTTCAGTAAAACTGAATTTATAACATGGCAAATTTATCTCTACATCATCATCAAGTCATTAATTTAGTATCCACTGCAGGCGTAATTATGACCTATATAATCCCTGAAATTATTTTGAACAAAACATTGTTATCCCTGACTGTACGTCCATATGTCGGGCGCGACATTATTGTGACTGTAGCAGGAAGTTAATTGCATGTTCCTTGTCAGGCCGGGGCTGCGGATGATTTAGGGTATTTTAGGCTTTCACATACGCAACTGAAATGGACACAGAAAACTCATTTTTGCACGAGAAAATTTGCATTTTTTACGAGAAAATTTGCATTTTTACACCAATTTGAATATTTAGGTAGTTTTATTATGGTAAGTTATATCAACATTCCACGACATTATTTTCAATTTTGAATCTTATGGTCAAGATAGACTGGTGAAATTCATCAGTTTGAAGTAATTAATCTGCTGGTAACTGTAGATACTATTTTCTAGTTTGTTGTGTAATCTGTAAGTAAATAGATCTAAGAAAGGTTGGACTGCTATGAGTTAAAATGTATTGTCAAAATGAACCACAATGAGATATGGTAGTAGAACAATATGGTATGTGGTTTTTCTGTGTCATTGTATATTATTTCGGTCGGCTCCGTTTCACTTAGTATTAAACTTTCCTTTTCCCGCTTAATTGACTTTTGTTACATTAACCCTTCCGAATGGGATGTGACCTTAACCCGTAACCGTTAACCGTTTTTTTGTATTAAGACCTAATCAGTTGTGTACTTTCGGTATGGTAGATTGGTTTTATTGACCTATCTACAGAGTGTAACAAGTGAAACAAAAGTTAGTATTATTATTTACACGGCTTAGATTTAAAATATCAAAAGTGCTACAAGTTAAAATCCAAATCCAAACAAATTAAAAATGAAGACATACATTTTAATTTCAAAATCGTTATTATCCAGATGATATTTTTATTTGTGCATACTGTTAACGCTCGGTATCATTGGCATCACCTAAAAGATCTAAATCATTGGTAAACTTTTCTCGAAACACATTAAGAAAAAAAACTTGTAACTAAAAAAAAGGTTATTAATTTTGTTGGCTGTAGGTATATGCCTTTGCCTTTTTCCAAGTCTAAATGAAACAAAAACACAAAAAAAACTAATTTCAAAATTTTAAATATCGAACTCCTGGTAAGTCTCCCAGTGGGTGCAGCTGCCTCTGCATGCTCCTAGCCGTGACGTGGATGGGGCTTTCCAAAGCATGATGTTACATTTAGAAATTGAAGAATAGGTGTGCCCTTGCCTGTGCTAAGTGGAAAAAAAAAAGAAAAGAAAGACAAACATTTCAAACTTTAAATTCAAATATCGAACTCCTGGAATCCCAGTGGGTGAAGCTGCCTCTGCACGCCCCTAGCCGTGGCCGGCTGCTGCGTGCGCGGTATGATGGACATTCGGCGGTTCGTGGGCGCCTCCTCCACGCGCGTGCCCGGCATTATTGAGAAGCGCCTGCAAAACGTTTCGCTCGTTAAAACTGTTGCTGGCCAGTATTTGGTGGTCTGGAAAATTGGTTTGCTTCTTTTTTTAAAAAAGAAATTAACTGCTTTTGTATTTTAGGTGGCTTGGCACGGTTTGTAGCAATTTAGTTGAAGATTAGCTACCTACATGGAGTATTAGACAAAGTTGAAATCTATTGTATTTGTGTTCTAAGAATATAAATAGATTTTCCCCCTGCGAACTAACTGTAAAGTAGGTTAACTACTAACAACTGAACAGAAAGAGTGATTTCAAAAATGAAATGATGCTCTATTAACACGTAAAAAACATTTATTTTTATTCTGAACAACCTTTTTCTGTCTTAAATTTTTCCAGAGCCTCTAAAATTTCACCCACATTATGTGGATCATTGTAAATGAACCTAACACCGTCTGTGATAATTTGTAACCGTGCCAAAATACATTGGCCTGCTCGTATGTCTAGACTAGACGTTTAGTTGGCAAATTACTTAGATATTATGTAAAAGTGCCTTCTATACACTCGTTTAATGTATGCTTTCGTAATGATTTTTTGCGAGATGTTGAAAATAAAGTAATAAATAAAATTGGCAAACATGATTTTAACTTGAATGCTGAAAAATGCCTTCAGCTAAAAAAGTTAATACACACGATCAGCAATAAAAGTTGTACTTTACAAGGCAGCTAATAGGTACTGTCTGAAATAAAAAAGTGTCTTCATTTCTGATAAGTAAAATTAAAATCTGATGATATTTTTATCAGAGAGAATAAAAGACTATCAACAATTTTCAAAGACCTTTAGGTCATTGTTCCTCTTCCATCTAATCACTCAAAATAACATGAAGCCCCCCTTACTGATTAAAGAAGAGAGATGAATAACGCCTTTTAAATTCGACTGGCAATGCGACTCATGGCATTAAGCCCACCCTCAGCACCCTTTTTATTCGTAAAGTGTAAATAAATAAATAAAAGGCTTAATATTTTTTTAAGTTGAAAAGAGCTCAATAGAAAATAGAAGTACCTACTTTTCTTTTTATTTTCATTGTAAAATATTTAATACCTTTCAATATAACATCAAAAAGCCTGCTAAGTTCTAGATGAACATGAAATACGATGGTTCCGTATTCACATTTATTTCTCTACATCTCTTAAGGTTCGGTTCGGCTACTAAACCGACGCGTCCTGCCTGCGCCGGTGTGCCGGCGTTTACCCGTGGTCCCCCCAACATGTCCCCCTGGTGGGTCCACGGGTAATTTTTTTTACCCGTTGTCCCACCGTTCTGAACAGTGTTTGCCAGTGGGTCTACGGGTAATTTATTTTAACCATGGTCCCACCGCACTAAGTGGCAAACATTGCTTGTCACCTAGCCTAGGTATCTATAATATTATAAAAAAATCTATAATTAATATAGAAAATAATTATAGGTAGGTACGGCACTATAATATCTTTAAAATATCTTCACATCACACATGTGGGTTAAAGTCACTCATATCCTTCTCGGCGTTTGATATTTCATCCCAGACATAGGTGACAAGATACCTAGGCTAGGTGACATGCAATGTTTGCCACTTAGTGCGGTGGGACCATGGTTAAAATAAATTACCCGTAGACCCACTGGCAAACACTGTTCAGAACGGTGGGACAACGGGTAAAAAAAATTACCCGTGGACCCACCAGGGGGACATGTTGGGGGGACCACGGGTAAACGCCGGCGGCGTGTGCGATGGCAATGGCGATCAGTAGAAATCAGTAGGATCGCCATCGCCATCGCCATTTGCGTGCGATGGTATTTTTTCTGTATCAAAATAATTATAACAGCTAGAGACTGGAATTCGTTGCATGCTGCTGTCTTTCCCGAAAACTATAATCCGGGCCTTTTCAAGGCGAGAGTGAATAGACACTTACAGGGCAGATATGTACCATACTGCATCCCACTTAACATTAGGTGCGATTGTGGTCAAATATCTGCCTGTTCTGCATAAAAAAAATGTAGGTCAACTTGAAATAAAAGTTTTCCCACAAAATCTAACTGCAAATGATCAATTTTCCATTATTATTTGTATTTATTAATTTGTGATTCTAGAATCCTAGAAAGACCTAGGTCTTATGACCAAAGCTTTTGATTATATGTATTATCGGGGTGATCCTAATTTTGTATTTTCTCTACCTCTGGTTGTACCACGGAACCCTAAAAAAACAATAAGCCCCCTAGCTGAAGATGGAAGATGAATATTATGAGAAATCGCATTATAAGGGTATCTTCTTATAAGGGTTTTGTTTCATTGGAAGGATTTTTCTTGTCCCTTTTCAGAGTATCTTTTGTATGATGTTTTATTTTAGAATGATACCACAAAGCGATGAGCAAACTGACCATTTTTGCCATTGTTTTTACTAATATTATAGTAAGCAACAAAGACATAATCTATACTTATAATAAATCTGTAGAGAGGTCAATTCTGTACATTAAATATATTTTCAAAATAACTATCAGGGGGTGATTAGTGATCGATACTGATGCCAAAAATGCAATCAGTAAAATTTTTGTCTGTCTGTCTGTCAGTCTGTCTGTCTGTCCGTCTGTATGTTCCTTATAGAAACAAAAACTACTGGACGGATTTTAACGAAACTTGGTACAATTATTCTTCATACTCCTGGGCAGGTTATAGTATACTTAAGAATTCCCACGGGAACAGGAATAAGCGGGAAAATCCTTTTGTAGGAAAAGTCTAAACCGCTTAAGTTAGACGCTTGAAATTTGGCATGTAGGTACCTTAGGAAACTTAAAGCTTAGTTACAACAAGGAATTCCCTAAATTCCCACGGGAACGGGAATTAGCGAGAAAATCCTTTTGTATGAAAAATCTAAACCGCTTAAGTTAGACGCTTGAAATTTGGTGTGTAGGTACCTTAGTAAACTTAAAGCTTAGTTACAACAAGGAATTTCCGAAATTCCCACGGGAACGGAAATTCGTGAGAAAATCCTTTTGTATGAAAAATCTAAACCGCTTAAGTTAGACGCTTCAAATTTGACATGTAGGTACCTTAATAAACTTAAAGATTAGTTACAACAGGATATTGCAAAATTGTAATGGGAACGGGAGTTAGCGGGAAAAGAAATTTGTATGAAAAAATCTAAACCGCGTAAGATAGATGAAGGAAGTAAAACGGGATCCACGCGTACGAAGTCGCGGGCGGCCGCTAGTATTTAAATAGTTTCTGAAATTCTTACTATAAGTCTAGGGGTTAACTCAGTCAGTGCCTGCAGTACGGGAGCGGCACGGTAGAGTTTTTTTGTTACGTCAGAAGTCAGCGAGACTTCAGGTTTGTATGATCTGTGGGTCTAGACAAAGTGAAAATTATAATCGCAAACCAGTCGAAAAGTGGTCGAAAAGACCCTTTTTTGTATAGAGTTTTGACGGATTCGATTTTCGATTCGATCAAAAAGTGCGTTTTGTCTAGGGGGGCTGTTACTTCATGTCAAAATCACCCCTGCCGTGCCGCTCCCATACCTCAGTCATTGACTGAGTCACGGTAATACTATCTATACAGTATTCCAACTCGGCCATATTTTTGAAATAAATGTCAACAGTCGCGCGGTACGTCACAGTATGACAACATGCGATAGGGCTGCCCACCTACAGTAACCAGTTTAATTACATCTGCCTACTTAGAATTTCTATCTAGTTTTTTTATTGTATTTTTTATTTAGTTAGACAAACAAAATACTTTGTGAATGGAATAGGTTAAAAATGTGTATTGTTTTGTGATTAGTAGATTGAATTTAGTAAAAACTACTTAAATAATTTCGAAACTTTAATAATCATAATGATCTGTTACTTTAATTTCGGGCGGGCGAAGTCGTGGGCAAAAGCTGGTTTAATACAATATAATTTTTATTTCAAATCAAACTGACTGAAAATGTCAATTTGACTAGTTTTTGACCAATTTGACCGTAAATGACGGTCAGTCAAATTCAATCAGTTTTGTCAATTTTTACACTTGGCCACCGACGTCCTTTCGGCACATTCGCGACAGACTTTTGCATACCGGAGATTTGAATTTCGAAAGAAAAATCTCGTTTTGTCTGTTTATATGAAGTTACAATACTGTATGATATTATTACCGTGACTGAGTTAAGAGCTAGATCCAAAGACAATTGAAAAAAAAAAACTAAACTATTACCATTAGGTCAACATCGATTAGATAAGCCTACACCGATTTGCTATCGGCCGATTCTTCATACAAATTAAAATCGGGACCAACTATCGGCCAACTTAAAATCAGTGGCCTGCGCCTAGGCTTAAAACACGAGTACTTAAGCTGAATTGCACCACCTAACTTTAACGGTTACTATAACGACAACCGGTGCTTTTTGAATAGAGTTTGACAGATTTTTGACGTGTGTCAAAGTTAAAATAAGATGGTGCAACCTAGCCTTAGTTTCCACTCATGCATTTCAATCCTAATCATAACCGGGCTTCAAATTCACATACTCTAATCATAACTCAGCTTAAACTGGTCCGCAGTGAACTTTGCCCAAAGTTTAAATTGTTTTGCCGGTGGAAATCGAACAAGTTGTGACGTGCCGACCACCAATCCTGAATTGTACGATAGCCTTTTGTTTACTTTCATAAGTATGACCAAGTCAGAAATCGGTTAATTGTTATCTGACAAAGGATTATACTTATTTCTCTTTGGTCTAAAAACACAAATTGTTATCAAGAATCCATTTTAGTTTAGATTTTTCAATTAATTAACTATTTTCCTAGCTCTGGCGATGATGAAGCTACACAAAAGTATGTACCTAACTGCAACTTAGTACTCGAACAAGATTAAGTCTTATGGAAATTTCATAATGAACACTTATCCGACGTGAAAAAATCTGCGCGGCGAAGACTAAAAAATGCGAGAGAAACTTCAAGCTGTTTTTTGCTGCATAAGTAATAGGTAGCATTCTTGGCAAGAACACTAAAGCGCTAAAGCGGTTCTGTAATCGAATTATTCAGCGCTTTATTTATTAAAAGCGCCAAAGTTAGCTTCAATTTGTGGCTTTGCTCACTCGAAATAGGGTCAGTCTGTCACAGAAGCGTTTTATTTGTCTCATGGGCACAGTTAACCAATCTGCGGGCAGTGGGTCAATTTTGTTACGATCACAAACGAGTAAATCGACACAGAAATAATTGAAGTTACTAGAATACTTCGATCCTTCGTGGTAGAGAATTAAAATGAAAAATCTCGTACTTAGTTGCTGTAAAAAGAAGTACCTATGTAGGTTACTCTTGAATGTGAACTCTATAGTCTACTATTCTTATTATTTTGCTTTTATACTTTTTAAATTCATTGGGTACCTAGCCTATCACCGACTGTGGGGTTACTCGTACTTCGAACTCCGGAGTGACTTAGATAAGAACTTCCTTGGTATGGTAGATAATAACGCAAATACATATCCGAAAGCACCTTGCATTTTTTTTTTAAATGGCGTGTTACGTTTTAATCTCACAAAGAAGTTCTTATCTAAGGCACCCCAAGTTTCAAAGTAACCCCAGTCCACAAGCCCTTTACTATTCAGGTACAATAAAAACAAATTATATTACCTGGCAGCCGGGATGACAGACATACGTCTGAACAGGTGTTCTGCTGCACTTCGAAGGTCGTCATCTTGCATCAGACTGACCATCGCCTTTTCACGTTTCTCCAGTATCGCTTCCGTGGTTCCAACCTCGCCTTCCAGTGAAATATTTACGCACTATAATTAAAACATTTATTTATACTAACTGTAACCAATACCTTTTGAACCGAGAATGATGAATTTTAATGGAGGCCCACAAATACTAAACAAATATAACTTGAGTGCTGTTTGCGTATCTTCATAATCTTTCCTGGAAAACTACCTAAATAAAATACAGGTCCGATCCAAAAACTTAATCCGCTTATTTCCCGGCACCTAGAGTTCCATTAAAAATATATCTGCGCATACAAAATGTAGGGTTAATAAAGAATAATAATTTTGCCGTTCCCGAAATTCTGACGCAAGGCTAAGAACTCACGGCGCGATTTTCACCCGCGCCCGCGGCGGTTGTGGAATTGTGATTTTATTTCAAAACTCACGGGAGCGGTTATTTGCGCGGTTATTGTAAGAACTCACGGCGCGATTTATTAAATCCCGCCGCGTTCTAAGCCACTGGTACAAAATGGGCGAAAACCGCCGAGCGGGACCCGAATACAATCGCGCCCGCTGCGGGCGAAAACCGCGTCGTGAGTTGTGCATTAGTTTTTACATATCTGCATTCTACAGAAGCTGCGGGCCCGCAACCGCCGCGGGCGCGGGTGAAAAAATCGCGCCATGAGTTCTTAGCCTTATACCTCGAGTCCTGCAATATAGAACGGGGTCAGATAGGCGCAGAGGTCAGATTTATGAGAGCTCTCAAGTACGGCTCAAGCACGGCCGTGCGGGTAGCCTCGCTATTTATGACTCGGCGTTGTCTAATGTAATTCCCATAATCCCTATTAAGCCACGTTTTCACGGGCCCAAATTAGAAGGAAAATTGGAGTCACCCAATCTGGAGTGGTTAAGCCATTTCGGTATTATTTTTTGGCCGAAACGCTTACGGTAAACGTTATTCCGCATAACGTCGCTTTAAAAACCACTGAAAGTGTTATAGGACTGCTAGCACATTTTGCGAGCGCATAAATATTGTTAATCCGTTATTAACGTTTACTTTTTGCCCGTGGGTTAACAGTTTTGCTCGTTAGCATCGGGGTGGAGTTGGAAAGAGTATGTACCTACAGCAAAATGGGTCCCATTAATAAATTAGGCCACTGTACTATATTTACTGTATGACATTCTCTGCGAGCTGGTAGCTTTTATATGACATGGCCTAATTAGGTATTATAGAAATAACACAAGATACTCGCTAATTTTGTGCCTAATAAATGGAGGCAACGTTAATTTGATTAAATAATAATAATAATAATAAATAGTATTTATTTTCTCATCACAAACATTACAATGACACAAGTTTTTAAGCACATTAATTACAATTCAAAAACAAAGTTGTTTGTGTGAGACTGATGCCTGTGATAGGTATTTGCATACCTGTAGTACAGGTCATCAGGCTCCCACCACCCCAGATATTGGCACAATTTATAATTAATTAGAGAACCGATATTATATTATATTATTGATTAAAGCTTTATGAATATTAAAGATTTCACTAGATTTCCTAAATTAACGTTGAAAATTAAGTACCCAATATAATAATCAAACTCTTAAAATTCTCCTATTATAAGCTACAATAGGTAGGTATGGTATGTGTAGGTACAATCAGCGTCAAATATTTCGTGACACCCATTGACGCTGACTGTACCTACATTAAAAATAACTTTTAGTCAAGTATTTCTGCATCCGTATTTCTCTCAGAATTATTTGTGAACAACCCAAAAATTAAAAAATCATGTACGAACCGTGTCAAGAAACCCAGCAACATCTCCGAAGCCGTACGACCGTGAGAGCCCAGCTGCTTCTAGCAACGCTGCGCGTGCTTCGGGTCGGTTGTTCTGAAGCAAGTGACAGCGGGCCAGCAGAAACGTCGAGTTTAGCAGCCAAATGTGCTGACCAGCGGTGCGCGCTTCTGTATAATGTAAGTAGAGTTGTTAATTAAGATTTCATACTTTCGCCGTCGCGCATGAGCCTAAGGTGAAAACTGTATTGACTGTTCATTACTTTTTGATATGCAATAGTTCGTGTAGTAACGAAATGTCTAAGCTATATATTTTGACCAAGGTGTAGAGTTTGCGAAAGTAGGGTTAGTAGAGTTATAGTGCGTCTAGCTTAAAATCTGGCTTTACATGAGATCTCTTAACTTTTTGCCAGGACGACGAGCATACAAAATTTCGAATCGATTAGTTTTAATTTATAATTGCCACTACTTCTATCAGAATTATTCAAATTGCAGCCACCTAAGCCAAATCTAATAATTCAACACTGGCACATTAATAATCGAGTTTGAAACGTCTATCGTTGTTAATCACATACAATAGCTAGATCGATCACATCTAATTATGTCCCTATAGGGTATCCTTCCGTTTGGCCAAATTACTTTTCGCCAAATTTCACTTCGCAAACAACTTATCGCCAAAGTTTCGTTTCCCAAATGAACTTTTAGCAACTGTACTTTTCGCAACTAATTCATTTGGTCAAATTATCATTTGGCCAAATTTTACTTGGCAAATGTTTATATAGCAAATGTTTTATGTTGCCAAATATTATATCCCAAATAATTTGTTTGGTCAAATTGACACTTCACATACTTACCCACCGTTACCCACAAATCAAAGCATAAGGCACATGATCATGGTTTTCACAATAATTTTATGAAAAAAAAATTGCAGAAAATAGTATGGTTGCAAAAGTAGGTATTGCAGAAAATAGTAGGTTAGGTTAGGTTAGAACAGTGACCCTTAATGCGCGAAGGCGAGCGAAGCGTGCAGCGGCAGCGGCCGCCGAGCGCTAGAATCACCTCTATTGTTAATGAATCATTTGGAAATTTTGATACAAAGAATGAAATAAGGAAATTAATGTAGAACAAATTTTATGTTAACTCCCCACTAAACAAAATAATAACCACAAGCTAATTTGTATACCATTCTATGTACCAATCAAATTATTTTGTAAATAGTTAATCGTGAAATATTTTTGCCTAATGAAACATTTGGCAAACCATACTTTGCCAAACAATAATTTGCTAAACAATAATATGCCAAAAAAAACATTTGCGAATTAAAAGTTTGCAATAAGTTGCTTTGCCAAATGAGAATTTGCCAAATGAAAATTTGCGAAACGTTGTTTGCGATGTGATAATTTGGGAAACGTTTTTTGGCCAAACATTAGTAATCCGTCCCTATAGACTGAATAATCGATCAGGGAGCGACGGATCTACAAAGTTGCTGGTTGATACGTCTTAATGATCGCTATTGACATTCAGTGACACCTTGGGGAGGACGCTCTTGCTGACAGGACTAAACAAGGTGATTGATTTACTTAGGTGTCAACTCAAGTTTGAGTTGTGTAGATAGGAAATGACGGAAGCGTGACTAATGACACCTTCAATTTTATGGTCTAACTAGCTTTTGCCCGCGGCTTCACCCGCGTGAAATTTAGTGCCACAGATTCGCATAAATTATAACGTATATGTTAATCTGGGTTACAAATAATAATACTGTAATGTTTCAACTAAATCCGTTCAGTAGTTTTTGGGTGAAAGAGTAACAAACATCCACACAAACTTTCGCCTTTATAATATTAGTAGGATGTTGGTGGAATGTCAGATTCCTTAGAATTCAAGGCCCTAAGTTTAATTCCTAGATGATCGCATAGTAATGGCTAGAAGTTTAGGTCTAATTGATTAGTAGGGTTCATCTGATTGAACTAAAATCGTCAGCCAAAGATACTGAGGATAAAATTAATAAAATTGCTCGTCGTTTTACTTGTAATATTAATCCTGAACTCCTTTTAATACTTACTTTGTACTGGTATAAACAAGTAGGTAACAGGTAGGCTACAATTTTTTTTTTATTATTGGTTTGGCGACAGCTTAGATGATATTTTATGTAATAAATAGGTATGCAAATATACTCTATTTATTTCAGTATTCAACAGATGCTTTTTGAACTCTACTAAAAACTAAATATGTAGGTACCTGATTGACATTTCAAAGCGAAGAATCGTGCTCTATGCGCTTGCTTCGTTTCCATTAAGAGCCTTGCCAGTTCGTGGAGAATGTAGCAGCGTTCTGGCGCCCTAGTGCTCATTGCCAGGTTCCTTTCTAAGATGCGTAGGCGCGACCTAGACAGGTTAATATGTTTAATGAATATAGAAATAGATACTATAAAAATATTTTCGCTGAAAGAAACACCCCATAAAGCAGTGTCACTAAACTTCACAAAAAACAGGTTCAAATTCTTTAGTAGTATGTAGTAGAGATGAAACGGATATCCGGCAACTATCCGGTAGGCCGGATATCCGGCCTAAATTTGCTATCCGGCCGGATACCGGATAGTAGCTCACTATCCGGCCGGATACCGGATATTAAAAAACTACGAAAATTTCCTATAATAAAATGAAACACATTAATCTTTCAGTTAAATATCAATAAAATGGCTTATAATAATGACGGTTTTTATCTAAAGTCCAAAAAGTTACAAAAAAGCCATATTAAGGCCTTTCAAAAAACTAATTTCTTTTCTGGGCTATTCACTCTAATGACGAATACATAAATAGTGAATATATTTTAATGTCGAAATATTGCCAAATAAAATAGGCGATCTTTTTTTTCCCCGGATGGTATGATGACATACAGGGTGACTTTGAAATCGTTGGCATCCTTTTAATATAAGACTACTCATAATAACTACATAGTGCATTCCCCAAATATGAGACAAATCCAATGAGATTTTTTGTCATTATTTTAACTATGTATTTGTATTAGTGTGCTCTTAAAAATAATTTAAAACTATTGTACAGTCAACAACACATCATCCTATACATTTTGTTGCAAAATAACACTTAATACATTGAAATATGATGCCACAGTATGAAGATTGATGTGCTGTCGTCTGTACAAGATTTCAAATATTGAAATTTTAATTCATTTGATATGACTCATATTTGGGGAATCATGAGAAGTCTTATTTTAAAAAGAATGCCAACGATTTCAAAATCACCCTGTATAATGCAGTTCAGTCAGATTATGCAGCAAGTAAACTAATTGAATTTTCACGATGGCAACCGAAATCGCCCAAATGAGGGTTTTCGCGAATGAAAATTCCAATATGGCAATACGTAGACGCGATGCTGCATGATTGGCTATTTTTGACATGACATTGACAGATATGTCAAAATCCACCAATCACGCAGCAGTCAGACCCCACATCCACGTCCCGCCATCTAGCGGATCTTTCATTCGCGAAAACCCTCATTGATCTGCCCCTTAGACGAGTGGTAAAATCTGACATTCTATTCGAACGAATTCGATTTTCGAAAAGTGTGACTTGTCTAGTCTACTAGACCCACTGATCGCGTTCAAAGCACCTGTGCCGCGCTAAACTCGTTACGACATGCAACATGACAATGGGACAACTATCCGGCCGCCGGATATCCGGCTATCCGGCCTAGCAGCTCGCCGGATATCCGGTATCCGGTATCCGGCCAAACAACTATCCGTTTCATCTCTAGTATGTAGACCCGTATCTAGGAACTTAAACACGTCTCAACAAACTAGTGATAATGTTAATCTGCACTCTACCATAAAAAGACTGACAGGCCGTTGTTTTACTGACGTCAAATCACGTCAGTCGTCACGTATCATGTTTCAAAAGGCTATTACACAATAATGTACAGGTATTATAGTAGTCTCACTATAGTAGTAAAAAAAACACATAAATACAAACAAACCGTTGATACTAATGCAAATTGCATCGCAGCTGTAGTTTCACAGAAACTAGCCGTTTGTTTTAAAATTTCATTTAAAATTAAATTTTAAATTCTCGCAGGTAGGACTCACGAATAAAGTTCGCGTGGAAGTTTTTAAGTGAATTACGTCTTACTTTGCGTCTCGGGGTGGGGCTTGTGGCCGGGCCCGAAGCACCGAGTCTCTGCTTGGTTCCCGAGACATGTACATTCCCAGCAGTACGAAGGCTCGCTTCTCCCGGTCAGACTCGCTCATTGTGTCTTTGACACGTTTCTGCAGAAATAAAGGGGACGTTTATTGCTGGAGGGATACTTTTATTTGTTGTAAGTTCTTTGTGTCCACCTAAGGCTGTTTGCTTAATAACAATATTTCCTTTATGTAGTAAGGAGCTTGGTTTATTAAGACACTGTTGTTTTTGTAGCTAAGTAGGCCTATATCAAACATCCTAAAAGGAATATTGTGCCAAAACAAGCGATATAAAAAGCGACAGTACCTACGTACTTTGTGGTGTTGCTTGGAGGAAGCTTACGATAGAAAATGATGAAGTTGATAATAATATAATGTAGTTTACACTTCTAACCTGATCCAAGAACGCATTCGCCACGATATCATACAGCTGCTGCAAAAACTTCTCTTTGGCCGGCAGAAGATTGCTGTTCTTCTTTGCGATCTGGTCCATCGCAAACTCGGCACTCTCCAGGCATTTAGCTGTGTCTCTTTCTTCGTAGGCTATCTGCGCTGCTCTGACTAGGCGCTTGGCGTCGACCGCGTGTTGCTTTTGCGCACGAGTGAGTTGTTCTTTTCGTGCGCGTGAAAGACGCGCTCGCGCCGCTGCTTCTGAAGCGCGTGCAGCGTAGAGGGGACGTCTCTCGCGAAGGACTGCCTGGTTTTTGACATACACGTGACATAAAATGAATGAGTTTAATTCTGAGTTCCACAAGCTTTAAGGTCCCTTCCTGTCCATCCCTACGATTCATCGTGAACTACCGAAGAGTGCATGCGATTATACCGCGGCGTAGGTTTCGTACAAAATACAAATTCAAAGTATATTAAGTAAGACACACAGACAATGTTTAGAGTTGCAACAAGGGCTATCACATTTAAATAAAAGCGGTAAGACGCTAAGTAGCTTCTTATCTATCTTGGTCGACTTTTCACCAAAGTAAGCTGGATTTCACCTTTAAACGTTTTTACTCTTTAGATACCTAATACCTCAAAAGTGAAGAAAAAGTTATTAAAAAGTCCATTTTCTATCAAACGCGGCAATTTTCCAAGTTTTTCCATCATTGCTTGTTAATTTTTTGGTGGCTAACCAAACCATTAAAAGACATTTTTTAAAAGTATAATATATCCTGTATATTAGTGTTTATTTATTTCGCTGGCATGCTAGTACTAATAAAATGTTTGGTAGATGTCTCTTGAAAGAATTGACACTATTTTCGAGGAGACTTAGGCCCAGAACAGACGGTGAAACGCAACTGCAACGAAACTGCAACTTTCGGATGATTCTGATGAATGAAATGAGACTGAAACTGAAAGTTTCAAACTGGTCGCGTCATGTATGGTCTTTCAACGGACGCTATGGCAGAAACTTAGATGCAACTCAAAAGTTACTAGCAGTTTCAGTTTCGTTGCAGTTGCGTTTCACCGTCTGTTCTGGGCCTTAGGTACAACCATAGCCGGTAGCTTCAACATCGATCGACAAATTGAAGTGAATTCTTCTCTTTATTCTACATAGTTTCAAAAGTGCACTACATCTACATACCTGTCTTTTCTCCACATCAGCCAGCGCCTTATTGGCAAGCTCCTGCAGCATTTTCGAGCCTTGCTTATTGGCTGAGATGAGCCGCTCGTCCTTACTGAGAGCCGTGAGGAAAGACTTGTCATGAGCCATCCTCTCCAAATATTTTGACGCCATAAGCCGGGATATTTGCTCGGCCCTCTGGCTCTCTGCGCGAGATATTTCTTGTACCTGGATGAAAGTAAACAGTTATGAGAAAAGTAAAGAAAAACCATTGAGACAATTATTTGCTTTGGGTCCCAAGCAAAATACATGCAAATAAAGGGGATATAAGATTTTCATAATACGAGTTGAACCAACTTACTTTAACCGTAGCTGTGACAATAACCGGTGTTTTTTGTATGAAGTTTGACAGATTTTTGACGTTTGTTAAAGTAAGATGGTGCAACTCAGCCTAAGATTATAGATTTTCTTGCTGCAAAATAGTACTTTATTGAAGCGACTTCAATGTTTTATTAAGCTTGATGTACCAATATCCACTTAGCAAATGCGAGAGCGCGTGAAATATTTTTTCCTTAGTAGAAGCAAGTAGCAGCCTTGTAAATTATTGCGTACTTCTCCCAGCTTTTTATCTGGTTCTACAGGAATACCGGGAATAAGACAAATAGGAATTCCAGAACCCTTCCACGTCCAAGGTTAAGGTAAGTTATGTATGTACTTAGCGGGGGCATGAGATGGGTACGTGACGCCCATAGAAATATCTTCAGGTGGATCTCTGACGATTTATGAATAGTTTAACATGTCGGTTATCATCGGATAAGGTGGTAGAGACAGAAAGTATACTTAGGCTGGGTTGCACCATCTTACTTTGACTTAAACATGTCAAAAGTCTGTCAAAATCTATACACAAAACACTGGACAACGTTAAAGTCACCGTCAAAGTTAGGTGGTGCAGCAACTCAGCTTTAGATATAAGAAACAATCGTTGAGAAATAGTAGGATTTTGTTTAATTTGTTTCTTAGCTTTCAAAGAAGTGTATTTCATTTGTTTTTAATTGCGTGTTTTCTGAATAATTTAATAAGGCACGTTTTACTCTCAAACGGATGAAAAACAACTATTCAGTATAATAGGTGGGATTTTCTCATTTTCTCGGGAAGATAGGAAGATTAAAATAATAATAATAGGTATTTAAGTGGAACCGATTTCTTTTCAAAAGTGGGTCTAATGTACCTTTTTACTTTTTTTTGGCAGCGTTGTGTGAATAGCTAAATCTATACCTATTTAGCTTCTCTAAGCTTTTTAAAACGTTTATGTTGGTTTTATCTAGAAATCTGTGTACCAGATTGAAGTCAAAACGTTGGTTCACCCTTTTAACCGTAGTTTACACGAGCTTAACGACGCACAGCGGGAAATTAAAAACTAAGTACTCGAGTAAGAACAAGCCGACGATATTACACGACTTTAAAAGTCTGCTGCTAGCTGCAACCAGAGCGAAGCATTGCAAGGAATATATGACTCCATTACATTAAGTCGTTAGGTGCATTCGGGTAGCTTGGGCAAAGCGAACACACTATTGACATAAGCTAGATAGAAAAGCCATCTCTTTTGATACAGCTGGATGAAGTAGACTAACGTTTTAGGAAGTCCTTACTAAGTGTCGGCCGTTTGGTGTAGTGGTTCGAAACGGACAACTATTCCGGAGGTAGCGGGTTCGATTCCCGCACAGTACAAATATTTGTGTGCATGAACATATTTGTTTGTATTGGACTGGGTGTTTTCTATAAAAAAAAGTATTTAAGTATGTTTCCGTTGTCTAGTACCCATAATACAAGCTTTGCTTAGTTTGGGACTAGAAGCGCAGTGTAAAATGTCCAAGGATATTTATTTATTTATTTAATATGTTTAGCAACTTTGTCTGCTTTGGTAAGTTTCATAAATTCAACATCATCATCATCATTTTCAGCCATAGGACTGGATAGCAAGGTTCTGGAGTGGAGGCTTCGTACCGGAAAACGCAGTGTAGGACGTCCACCCACAAGGTGGACCGACGACCTCATAAAGGTGGCTAGAAGGCGCTGGATGCACCACCAACCAGCCATTGTGGAATTCATTGGGGGAGGCCTATGTTCAGCAGTGGACGACCTATGGCTGAAAGTTTATAAATTGGTAAGCATTAAATGTGAGCTTTTTGGAACAAAGCACTGTCAACCAGGGTTTTGGTACCTAGGCCCATATAACCTTGGACCTACTTACAAGTTTTAACAGCTATTGCACGCCTTGAGTTGGTTGCAAGAGTAAAAAATGTTCTAAAAAGGAGTAGAAAGAACCAGTTCCATAGAGACTGTCTCCTGTTGAAATACGGTTCATGTTATGAATTGAGGTAGCTCTATTCCCTTGCATGTGGTCTTCTTCGTGTAGCCGTGGAGGCATTAAGACCATTTGGCATTTTTGCTCAGACACCGAATGCAGTCGTCTCGACGTAAAACTACACATTTCCAACATCTGCTATTGGGGAATGTTATGAAAGATCGTCTCGTTTTACTTTGTTGGTTATGAAAGATTTTCAAGAGGATTTCATCACTAAAGGTATTTCACATAACCATTCTGTTTTATGAGACATCTTTTCACCGTCACAAATACTTTTAACTCTTTAGGTGCATTTTGTAATTCTGTAAAAGCGTCAATCCAACTCTAAAAATGGTCAAGCCTTTCCAATCGTGTAGACAAAGTCGAAAAAATTCGTAGGAACTACGCAAAGGCTCACGAGCTTTGATGTCAAAAACCAGGTTGAAAACCGCGAATGCAGTGAAAAGTTTGCACAATCATTTGTCAATGTCATACTGCACTTGTGGGTTCGTGTATTCGGGTGAATGTGAGTGCTGGTTTAACCCTCTACAAGTCTGGATATTTATACGAGTATACGAGGCTACTAGCGTGGAAAAGCATTCCAATTGAATTCAATTAACCTTAGCCAAATGGCGTCCAAAACTGGACAAGAAGCAATATCTCCCGCAATTTCCATCCAGTTTCTTCATGAAGTTACTTCTCTATTGAGCAGGGAAGATTATTTGGTGCAGACCGCTGCCAACCGGCCAATATGTAAAAAATATGGGAAGGCCTATATTCAGCAGTCGACGTCCTGTAGCTGGAGTGTTAAGAGAATGGTAATGAAAGGGCAGCAAAAGCAAGCGAGATTATTTGAAGTAAAGTACCCTAGGTAATATAATTTATAAACTTAATAGAGAGAAATAGCACGAAATAGGTACTAACAAAATATTTTCTAGTCTTTGCAGAGGGCAACATTGAAATAATTTCATAAAGTTCAAGGAGAAACCTTGTATCCGAGATAAAATATTACATCAACATTAATTATGACAAAACACTGCTCTTTGTCTAATAAATATGCCCCGAGCTAGATAATAGCAAAAATTTTATCATACCTTCTTTAATTAGTTAATTAGTAGCTGATATAAACATTTTCATTATCTGAAGACAATATCCACAGTCAGCAAAAGTTATTCAGGTAATTTTGTTTTCATAAAAGATTTACTAGGTTCCTGCTAGACGATATTGTAATTTCCTTAGCTATCTTATACTATCATGATTTTTATAAATTATTTTTACTGAAGATTTTATGATCGCGAGAGGAATATACTATCTAAAAAGCTAAAGGATTATTATACTCGTATGTGACTTTTATAACGGTTAGGTAGGTACAATAGAATATCTTAATAATAAACCATGATGATAAGATTATACTTAATTATTATAGACAACGTCAATTTAAATGACTGACCAACTGACCAGCCATACCTACTAAAGCTTCAGCACGGTTTCAGTCACCTATTCTGCCAAAAACACCATCATTGATTTCACAGTGACAATCTATCGGTCAAGACATGTCTTGACTATAACGTCACATTTTCTGGAGCAATACCGTTATTTTTTCCAAGAATTGATAATAAAATATGATGTAAGGTTCTTCTTTTTGGGTTTAGTTAAGGCTAGTACATATATTAAGGCAAGGATATTAAAATTTGACAGGTTATTCCATATGCCTTACCTGATGCGTAGGTTTCGGCTGCATACGACTTTGGCGCACTATGATCACAGGTGCATTGGCGTCCATTGATTCTCTCTTCAGCTCCACGCTACGGTATAGAGTCGCTACGGATGAGAGCATTTTTCCGGCGCTTTTCCCTGCACATTCACGAACCTGTTTTGGAAAATATTCTTAACAATAAAATGTTTTATTATAAAGTTCATAGAGGTATTAAAATAAATAATTAAAATAATACTGCTTGTTCAAATAATAAGATTTATTTGAACAAGCAGTCTCTTTCCTCTCATATTTGTGAAATGCACCATGTATCATGGTAAGAGTCTTAGTTTAAAAATATGCCAACAATTTAAAATTCAACCTGTATAATTCATGTTCATTTCGCTTGTGTTCTAAAGACATAATTAAGAATCCAGTCTCTCTGTATACACTTTTTAAGGGGGTAATGAAAACTGTATACTCACGGACTCAATGTAAAGCTTAATGTATTATCTTATGAACATTGAGTAATAGTTTAATAATACCTGAAAGTGCTTAACTTACTGAGAGCATTCACATGTAATGTAATAAAGCAAAATTAGATTTTGAATATAATGGTATGCCGTAAAGCTCAAAATCGAATCATGAATATTATTACATTTACACACGAATGCTCCCGGAAGCACCTTATGGGAATTCCCGACAACATCAAAAAAAATCCGCCTACGAATAATGTGCATTTATTTTTCTCATGTTTTATGTTTTATAAGGTGTAATGGACATGATAATAATGTCCTTAAAGACATTTTGAACTATTTTTTTAGATTTTAAACTCAACTTGCAAAATAATTACTAATTTGAGACTGTCTATGTGTCCAAACAGCACAATTTCATAATAAAAAGAAAAAATCTTACAGTAAAACTCTGATAAATCTATGTCACATCTTCAAAAAAAGCTTATGAATTTCTTCAGAAGTTTTCGGGAGCGTGCCAAACAAATTAAATTAGATTTTGTTTTACTTAAACGTTCGGCGCTTCGATAGATATTTACGCTAACGTTTAGAAGTTAATCCGGGGTTTGAAATTGCTTAGTATTCAATAGATAGCTAATTGAATTCGCCTCCAATAAAGGGAAATTGCTTAATCTGAGCTTATATAAGTTGTCGAAGGGATATGCCGGAGTTAACTGTGCGTTAGAAAGGCCTACACGAAGGGCTAATTTTGTTACGCTTGTGTCAATTTCAGATATTGAACAACAAGATTCTATCTTGTGCTTTTCTTTGTACCTATTTAGAAAACACTCTTCTCTTTATTCTAAAACTAACACAGTTTTCGTTTATGTGAATAAGTAATACATATTTATTAGACGTCTTTAGGAAAAATAAATACTTTTTTATTTTACTTACTTAAGTTACGCTCAGTTTTTTTTACGCATAATAAGGCAAGTATTTGACCACAATCGTATCTGGCGTTAAGTGGGATGCAGTCTAGGATGGTACATATTATTATTTGCCCTGTAAGTGCCTATTCACTCTCGCCTTGATGAAGCCTGGATTATAGTCTTCGGGAAAGACAGCAGCAGGCAAAGAATTCCAGTCCCTAGCTGTTCGTATTATAAAAGAGTCATCGAAACGCTTAGTGCGATTATCAAATTGAATTGTTTAGCGTTTTAGAATTAAAATTAATATTTTTTCACGCAAAATATTCAAATTATGTAATTCAATATTTTCCTTTATTCTCTCAACCCTTAAATCTTTTGTCTCGTAAAAATTTGATTTATCCGAAAGTATCTATAACCAATATCTCGGGAAAACAAGGAAAATATTTTCTCGGCAAGTTATAAGGAAAAAGATTATTTTTACTGACATTTTCACTTTCCAATGTAAATAAAATATACCCAAGATGCTACAAACACTCCTACTCGTATATTTATACTTTATACAAAGCCGTTACCCGGTGCCCGTACTATCTATGTATAACAGATAAATAACAGAATAATCAAAATAAAACTGTGGTGATAATTAAGTTGTCGACTGTAACAGAAGCTTTGTGATCTATGACATCTTATGTCGTCGTTATGGGTGCTATTTTGCAAAAAAACGTGTCTGATATATGAAACAATGACAACATTTCCTTTATTATCTGACTGCTCCAGGAGAATGGTTAAATGGTTTTTTAATTAAATCGATCATTTGTTTCAGCCGAAAGACATCCACTGCTGGACAAAGGCCCTAACGATTTCCACAGCGACCGGTCCTTTTTTTTACCCAGGAAAATGGCTTATCCATACCTACCGCCGGGGGACGGCAGGTTATGTGGGGCTCGAACCCACTAAAAACCTGGGGTGTTCCCTCTGCCGCATAGTGGTCGGCGTCTTGGGTACTAGAAACGACCAAGGCGCCTTCCGCGGACGTCCCGCCCTACACGGCGGGACCCAACACGCCCCCACATAGTTGGGGGCCGACAGGATTAGCCGGGACCACGAGGCCAATCCCGTCCGACGGCGGTGGTAACCTGTGCAATGCAGGGGGAGGCGCCCCCGCGTCTCCAACCTGCTGGCCACCACCAACAACGACCGGTCCTGCACCGACCGCATCCAAGCACCTTCACCAGATCATCGTTTCACCTAGTGGCGGGCCTGCCACACCACATCTTTCGGCTGGTGGTCGCCCCTCGAGAACTTTAAATTATTTTTCTTAAATTACCTACCGTTTCTTCAGCATGCCTGGCGCACTCGGCAAAATTCGGTGGCAACCGACGCAAGCTCTGCCCTTGGTGAGCCAATACCAATGCGCGCTCAAAAGCACATTTTTCGTAGTTGGTTTGCGCTCGGATTTGCAATGCTGAAAGATTCTCCGGCTCCAATTCTATAAATAGAGAAATTCGTTTAATGTCGTTAATTCGTCTAAGTGGTGTGCTTTCGATGCCTAATATAGGTACCGTGTAGATTTTTACTTACTTTTTTGTCAGTCGATAGTTAAATAAGCATGAAAGTAGTCACAAATAATACTAGCCAACCAAACTATAGGCCGATAAAAAGTCTGCAGTCTGCCGGGGCTCTTAACCCTTTATACGGCAGTGGTAATATAGTTCCTACCATATTTTGAACTTTATTTCCTTGTCTTAAGGTCCAAAAACAATGAAAAATTTGGTCTTGTTATGCTCGTATAGGTTGAATAAATTATTTATACCTGCAGCCTTTGCAGCATCGTCTAGCGCCTGGGTATAGTGAGTAGTCTTGACGCGCGCCAAACTACGGCCGAGCAGAGAACGGACATCTGAGCTCTGAGAACAGAAATTGATAAAGGAGATAAATAAATAAGGGAGATAAAAGTCCTTGATATAATTTTAAGAACTTCTAACAGATACACTACTATATTATTTGGTTTCACAACTCTTGGATTTGACACACAATTCTCCAACTCTCGAACCTCTCCAACCAGCAACTCAGAAACCAACAGCCTTATTTAGAGCCTTTATTTGTAAACAGTAGGTACCTACAACAGTATAGTTTTGTACTTTACCAGGAATCAGTGAAAAGGCTCGTTTTACGATTACAACGCTCACGTGAATATTCAGTTTTATTATATTTTACATGAAAATTGGAAGTTGGAAATCTCGTTAAGTTTCAGTTCAGCACCTAAATGCTCTTGCAAATCATATTTGATCCCTTACCGATTTGACTGAACGGTAATAAATGGCAGTTACAGATCGATTAATGCATAGATTAACTCCTGAAAGCTCCCCATAGCTATGCAATAATGGCTATTGGTTATTAAGGAGACTCGCAAGACATCAGTTAGCGTGGTCCACATTAATCTCCAAGGTAATGATCGTATTGAAACTTATTTGGATATCAAGATGGGAATATAAGCACAGGTTATAAATGAAGGTTTAGGCAGACAGCCGATTTAGGTTGCGTTTTCATAGAAACTGAGCTGCGCGGAGCTTATAAAAATTGACCAATCACATTGCTCAAAATACACATCTCATCTCCGCTCCGATTCAGTGGAAACAGTGTTAGCGGAGTTGAGAAGATTTACATTAAAATGTATGGTGCGCGGGGTGGAGCAGGGCTGCGAGGGGTAACGCGACGTCAGGCGCGGGAGTTTGTTTGTTGCAGTTTGACCTTGTACCGTTATCGAGAGTGCACGTTTATCATTATGACAACGGACAAAAAATTAATTGAAAGCATGAAAAGATGTATTCACAGCCCCGTTCAGCTCATCTCCACTTCACAGCTCCGCTCCACTAGTCTCAGCTCTGCTCGGCTTCACTTCACCCAGCTACACAACTCAGCCCTGCGCCGCTCATCTCTGCGCAGCTTTAGTGGAAACACCTACCTATTTACACGGCTCTGCTCCGCTCAACTCCGCGCTGCTCCACTTCTGTGGAAACGCAGCCTTAAGCGCGGTGCGACAAGAGAGGCTTATGCTGGATTTATATTGTCTGACGTATTGTGTCGTTTTATGTCGTGATGCGTCAGAACGGAATTATCGTTATGGCTTCTGACGTGTCGCATAATGTATGAAATCGATTTCATTCTATAGGTCTAGCTCTTAACTAAGTTATTGCCTGAGATATCAGTGTGCTTACCATGAGTTTACGTTAGGTGTGCTCGCTAGCGACTACGTAAAAAAATGACATTAATGAGGATCAGTACTGTTGTAGAAAATTCAATGAAACTAGTATCTACGTTAATCTTTAAGACATTAGAAAGATATATCTTTTTGAATTATCCAAATCGGACCATTACTTACGAAGATATTAAGTAATAAACATAGACCGTTTTTGCCGCTAAAAGTCAACGTACGCAGGGCCGCGTGACGTCACTATATCCGAATCGAGCGCAGCCGGCGTACTATTGGGATGGAAAATATCTTTTTCCAGCTAAACTATCAGTTTTAGAAAAAAACTTTTAATAACATTTATTCATCAAAATAAAGTAACCTATCGTCCAGTAATTTTTAAAAATAAAAATTGTGAAAAATAAGTATCGCTATGTCCAAAAACCACATTTTCATAGGATTCGATGCAATGCGGAGACGCGGTTGGGGTGAGTGTAACTTAATGATTGTTTGTATTGAACATAATAATACATAATATGATGCTAATAATACCCAGTTTCTGGCCTGGGGGGGGTCAAGTCATACCCAGTTTCTGGCCTGGGGGGGGGGGGTATGTAATACTCAGCTTCTGGCCGAGGGGGAGTCATACCCAGCTTCTAGGCTAAGATTAAATAGATTTCCAGGAGGGAGCAGCTGTCCGTTCCTGCAGCAGCTGGCCCGCCCATGGGAACGGCGAATAGATAGGTAGGTACGTAGGTTTAACTCAGAAAAACTAAAAAAACTGGAAGAAGATATGACTCTAACGACACTTATGAACACTTTATTTGAATAAATCGCCAAATACCACCGCGGAGACCCCAATCGCGTCTCTGCGCTCCATTGAACCGTATGAGCGTATGGATTTTTTGCGTTATTTTTCACAATTTCTATTTTTAAAAATTACTTATCGATAGCTTACTTTATTCTGATGAATAAATGTCATTACAAGTTTTTCTCTAAAACTGATAGTTTGGCTAGAAAAAAATATTTTCTATCCACGCAGTACGCCGGCAGCGTTCGGATCGGATATAATGACGTCATCGTCCCCGCGCCGGGCGGTCAGTGAACTTTTTTAGTAATTTGGCCATAACTTCGTCAATTTTTGTCGTAGAACAAAAATTTTTGGACTGTGTATTAAGGATTTCTTAGCCCTATAAATCTGCATTCACAGCTAAAAATCGAAATGATCCTCATTGTATGACATATTGTGCAGCGCCCCTAGCGGCTACTTTCAAGAAACAAAATCTTCATAGAGATTTTTGACGTACTCGCTAGCGAGCACACCTTACGTAAACTCATGGTAGGTGCACAGAGCGGCGATATGTTGTTATGTGATAGAGCATACAAAACTGAAAGAGATCTGAGTGTCTGAAGTTTCGCCGACGTTTGACGTTTCAAAAACACCCTCCCGCGCCGCTCCCATACCTCAGGCACTGATTGAGTTAAACGCTAGACCTATAATTCATCGTATTATGTCTCTTCGTTTGTGTCATTAATCAAGAGAGACATCATTACATTAAGTTAATAGCCATTTTTCAAATTAAACAAGATTAAAAAGAGATAAATCACTAGTTGGACAGCTCTTAAGTCAATTTGTCTATTCTGAGACTTCGTTGAAATTATTGGTTTAAAGTCACTGCAAAATTCAAAGTAATCTTTTCTTTAATGTTCTTTGCTAAGTAAGATATTTTCTAAGTACTGGCTCATAAACGTGCCTAAAATTGTTTGGGGCATGTATCAACATGTCCTAAAGATAGCTCTACCACTGCAGTATCAAGAATAACTTTAACCATGCCTTCCAAATCACAGAGAGTTGTTTGAGGATGCCTCTAAATATAGTCGGCTTCACAACCTATTTTAACTTTCCGCTGATTTTAGACTAATTTTATTTCAACCAATAGTCAGTTCCGTGTAGAGACCAGTAAAGAATTGTATGTAGTACGAAACGATAAACACTTAAAAATGTAAAAGTAAGGCTGAGTTGCACCCTAACTTTGACCGTAACTATAAGGATAACCGGTGTATTTTGTATGGAAGTTGACAGATTTTTGACGTTTGATAAAGTCAAAGTAAGCTCATGTATTGGTAATTTTTAGAGTCAAGTAAAGGGTTTTGTAAAGCACCAATCGGTATTTCTAAAACAATGTAATAGAAACATTCGTTAATTAAGGTATTCCCCAATTACCGAATGGTGGTCGTATCACTTAATCGGGTGATAAATTGCAACTGTTTGCGAGAGAAACTTCAGCAGGGATCCGTTTAGTTAGAGGACGATAACGAGGTGTGTGCAAACATTATCAACATTTAGGCATCGTCTAATTGCCCGTTTGTAAATTGAAACTGTCTGTGTTTACGTAAAGGGCTCCTACAGTAGGTAAAACATCGCTAACAAGGACTTAAAGTCACGGCAAAAAGCTCTAGCATTACAAATGAGACGCATCTGTCAACATTATTCTTTGAAGATTTTGCTTTTGAATGTGGAAATGTAGAGCCATTACCTAATTTGATTTGATAGACCGCTACCGTTAGTTCGGGGTTGAAATTCTGCAATCCCACTTGCACTTTGGGAGATACGTCCATAATAAATTAGTTTTTACCAAGTTAGTAGTAGCTTTTGCTTAATTTAGAGATATGACTTTTCTTCTTTTATCGTACAAGTGCTCTAGAAAGAGCCTATGTAGTAAAAAGTGTAGAGCTGAACACAAGTCTATTCTGACTTATTAAATCACCATAGGTATCTAATCTAATGCCCGTTTTCACCATCAATCCCTAATTTTTAAGTGACCTCTATTGTAACACATAACTGGAATTTTGTTTTCAGAGGGGTTGCTTAAAAAATAGGTATGGATGGTTAAAGCGGGCATAAGACAACTTAATTAGACTGACAGTTTAACTTGCCATCAGAGCACGAAATCTTATTTATTTTATTTATCAATAAAATAGATTCCAGTTTGTTTCCAGTTTTTATAACCAAACTAGGAACAAAATTACATAAATTGATTCCACACTACATAATGGTGTTGTTCCACCTCAGATCATAGAAGGGAATAGATGTGAAACGGGGGCGTGGCGCGTGTCTCCGCGATATGCCCAGAAACGAACATCGCCCGCGACGCCAGGTTAGTCGCGATTCAGTCGTACTGAGGAAATGTTCTCCGATATTGTTGGATAATGCGTCGTAACGTGCAATAACATAAGTGAAACGAAGAACTACAGGAACAATGAAGTCATTTACCACATGTAAGTATTGCAAATCCATTGGTATTTTGCTTATAAATAAAAAGAACTAAACATTTTTACGAACGAATTCAGTGCCGTGACATTTACTGCGATATCGAAATTAGTGGTGATAAAAATTCAAACACGTTGTACATTGACGATTTAGTTAGCAACCACTTTATGTCATGCGTAACTACTGCGCAATGTATTTTATTTCTTCCGATATCCACTGACGCGTGAAAATACACAGTACGGCCGCATGTGCCGGTCGTAACATAGTGCAGGGCTCGTGTTCTAATACGGTTTCCTATTATCGATAAATAGAAGTAAATTATTATTTTCTATTTTCTAATTTTGAATGAAAAAATCATGAGTTGCTTGCGATTTTTAAGTTTTTACAAAAACAATAACAATAGTAGAAGGGATTAGTAACTGTCAACTATGTAATTACTATAAGAGCTAGTTGAAAGCCTAATATAGGCATTATTTTTGATAAACATAGGCGGTACGAATTTCGCCATAATTAAAAAGTTAATGCGCGATAGTAGTTAATAATAATTACAGTGATCCTGTTATTATTATTAAAGTAAATAATAATATATTACCAATATTGTAAATACTGGTAAAAATCGCAAGTACCTAAAAGTCATGGGTTAAGCCCATGACTTTTCATACAAACTTTGTCAGTCTATAACTTCTATACTCCATCGATAACGACATTGAGCTTTGGTTGGGGTAAATTAATATAAGGTAACTTCATTTAGTCCCAATAATTGATTCTGAGTTTTTCGTCCATACAAAATGGAACTGACTCCTTTATGCAAAAATCGTTAAAGAACATAATAATAACGTATAATAATAAAAAGGTTTTCATACAAGCATTTTTTAAACCAATTTCGAGCCTTGCCCCCAGGATTTAAAGTATAGATATCTTATCGACTCCATTTTATCTTTCTTCTCTCTAATTGCTTTTTTCAAAGTGTGCGTCATGTCACGCGGCCATTGATTGGCCATAAGGCACGCCTTCTGGCCAATCACAGCACTTTTAAGCCGGTTGCACATGTTGTCGTAGACTCTCAGTCGCTTTGTTTTTACACAGTTGAATGTGTGTGTGGGAGCTGTGGCGGGGGAAATGTGGGGACACTGGTTCTCGTTGTAGTTACGCGCGACTTCATATCTATTCTCTTTCTATGATCTGAGTGTTCCACCAATTGAACCCGGAGCATCTGAGTAGACAGAGTATCATCCAATACCAAGGAGGCTATAGAGTAGAGATAAATAAAAAACCGACTCCAAAAAACCTGCACTAAAAAGTAGAAAAATAATTAATAATTTTACGTATTTATTAGGACGAAATAATATTATTATGTACCATGATTGATACTTTTGGAGTCGGTGCCAAGATTATGAAACGTATGATATTTGCCGACACCGACTCCAAAAGTATCAATCACTCTATTTGAGATACAGTCGAATTGAGAACGTCCTCCTTTTTTTAAAGCCGGCTAAAGTAGTGTAGCTAGTTAACACATAGGTACACTACATTTAACTATGATTAATTCTATTCATCAGTATCTCACTAGGTATTATTACCATGATTGGACATCAATGACGTCATTAAAGATCGTTGATGGATTGGATCATTTCTAAGTGCTGTTTGAATCTAATCGTAAAGCAACTATCTCATCTACATCTATCTAAATCAAACCAATCAATCTTGAGCTTGTAGATAATCTATGTAAGCAAAACTAATTAATTTGATTATAATCGAACACTGGCAAGTACTCACTTATTGCTATGTAAGCTAAAACTAAGTAATTGAACTATTAACCGACTCTGTAGACGCATTACTCAACTAATGCTTTTAAGAATTGATTACATAATTCCAAATTATTTGCTATCATAATAATATACTTACCATGGTGTGTTTAATTTTATGATTGCAATATTTTCAATCCTTCTAATAAATAAAAAAACATCACACATCTTTTACAAGTGTAAAGTCATCGTAAGTACGATGAATAAATAATAACTTTTTTGAACATTCATTACGGATTAAAATAGCAAAGTAAAAACAATACCTACCTGCATTGTGAACATTATGGAAGCAATAAACTATTGAGTATTGAAAAATAATAACTGGATCCCAGATTTAAAGTACTTTTTTTATTTTGGGTCTGAATGCAAAATATACGAAAAGCTTTCTATCAACATACAGATCTAATTGCACGTTTGCGAGCACCGAGACCGTTTGCTTTAGGGTTCCGCAGTAATTGTACAAACGGAACCTCTACTTCGCTTCTATCTTGGCTGTAGAGGAAATGCTAGTAGTATCTGTGGACTTATTATACCACTGCATGATATCGTAGTGTACAATGGGTATGCATTTCCTTGATGGTAATGCAAGGAAAATCTATGCATTATGTTATGCTAGCACGACACTTAAATATCAGTTATAAAAACCCATTAAAGCAAATTTTAAACGTAATCACAATTACAACAAAATATAGTGCTCCGTGCTTCATAACGGACGAAGTGTGGATTAATGATTTTGATTGAACTCTATCAAGCATTTTTTTTAAATTACTTTAATAACTAACAATTCATGCTGCTCAACTACTAGACTTGTAAAAACTTAATTTTAATAATGATTTTTTTTAAATATTTTTCCTTTATGTTAAACTTTATCCTAGACTAAAACGCTCATAACCTCTATCTGCGTGAATTTCTAAGTTTTTATTGATATAAAAATGTTTTTGTATTTTTTAGTAAAGCTTCATATTCACCAGAGGGCATGTAATATCTCGCGGCATGTGATATTAAAAATGTTCTGCCTAGTGCGACTAAGGCTGATATTTCTTTAATAATACGAGGTTCATTCTAAGCATGTCATATGAATAGGTACAAGGCTACTGCTAGGGTACTGTACTCGTATATTATGTAGCTTTTAGAGCGTTCATTATTACTGCTACGGGATTTTGTAACACAATAATTTGTATTAAAGGTAAATATTATAGAAACTGCAACATAATAGTTTAAAATATTTTAGAGGGTTTACCGATAGAAGCTCACTGCTCTAGTGATAAGGCCAAAGCAAACCATTGAATCCAATTTTCGGAATTTCCTCTTCAATTTATGCCAATTTTCTCAAAATAATTATTTGCACTACACTACAAGGACCAAGTACAGCTGCTACTATTTGTTATTTGATAAAGCTACCAAGAACGTTTCAAGAAACATACTTGTAATGAATGCGGAACCTTGCCGCAAATGTGCTAAATAACATAGTTTTCGCACTCACGTTCCATCGCAACGCCTCGTTGTACGCCTGTATCGCTTTCTCGAACTGCTCCAAGCGCTGCAAGTAATTCCTGCCGACAATAAAGCGCGTCAGAGGCAGACGTTTCTCTTAAATTTATCGCTAGACTATTTGCTGTCAAGTCTGCGTGCTAAGTGGTATTTGTTCTTTGCGAACGTAATATTCGTACACTTATTAGTGACATAAATATCAGATTTCTTGTGCTAGTAATGTTTGTCTTATGTTATCGAATGGGGTCTTATGTCAAGAACCTAAATTATGACGACGCTAAGAGATGTTACGTTACTTTGTGATCACATTAATTTTGGAGACACATTCCAAAAAGAAAATATCCAAGACAAGTTGTAAATATTAGCGATTTATAGCATAATCACAAGATAAATAGTAGATTGTCTTTTGTTATTAGAAAACAACAGCTAGTAAAAAAATCCTGCTACAAATAAGATTTACGTTCCATTTTTTTAATTTTTGCGGTAGCAACACTTTGACACAGTGCTCTCTTTAAGTAAGGCGTCGGTTATTACTCAAAGTAAAATGTAACACACGCCAGGTGTGTCATGCTCACTTAAGTTCCGCGGCGACCCGAGCTAGGCTTAGGGTGAGAGTATGCTGAGATGTGGTACAATGCAGAATGGCATAGAAAAATAAGAGCAAAAGGAACTTTCACTGTAGAATTGATTTAAATGGTAGTATAGATACTAATTTCAATCTAAAAGTCTACTAGCTTTGCTCAAAATAATAAAATTGCAAGTTTTAACAATTATGCGAAATCTTTAAGCAGATTTTTTTGCCATTCTTCATTGATGAGCTCTGCACCTTACATCCATTCATTGTTTAGCTAATTAGATTCTAGAGATAGTTCTGCTCCTTGCCGTTTGCATCTTAGCATGAGCGCACCCTTAAATTCGTGCATCGACGTCATGCTGCGCACAGGTGCAAACAGCCTTTTCCATTACATTCATTTAACTTATAGCGTCCGTAAAAAGCAACTACATAACTTAAGTAGGAATGTATTCTAGTATTTCACTGAGTATTTTTATTTATTTGACTTATTTTTAAATAAAAATTTCAAATATTGATCTTGAGATTTTGATGTATCCACATGCATAGCATCAAATGAGGTAGAGGAAATACAACATTCTCCAGAATATTTGGTTTTAAAAGATAATATTCCCATTCACCCCTTCAGGTAAATGTTATGATTATGTTAGGTGGTTTTAGAGATACAAAAAGACAATTTCCTTGAAGTTGCAAGGTTTATTTTTACTGGGATGGAATCTTGCATTAGTGAGACAAGCCATTGGAAGACAGACAATAAGTACAGCTGCTTAAATGTTTGATATTTTTTCTCTCTACTTCCGATGTTCCATAAACTTAGCATCTTACAAAGAAATAAGACGCTGTCTCATTATAATATGCGAAAATAACGACGTTTATTTGCCGTTCCTGCATTTGCTATAAGCTGTGCGCTGACCAGGAAATAATAGTGCTCAGTATTGCCAAGTCAGATAATTCAGCCATGACGCTTTATTGTACAGTTCATAGCACATCAGGCATAGGAAATAATACAGACGACAGCACATAAGACTATAATTTTTGTTCGAAAATCGTCCATATTACAACTGTATAAAATTTCCACCGTGTTAACTTGATGTGCCGTCGTCGGTATCTAGTGTAATTAAATGCCAGATTCTTCTTTTGATGCCAAAAAATCGTTTGTACCTTAAAATGTATTACTACTTTGATTTCCTCAGTATGATGCGATTCAAAACCTTTTTCTTTTTGAACAGCTATTAGTTTTCTTTCAGGTTGTGTAATTTTCTATGGCAATAAATAATAGGTAGTTTTTGTCTTCCCAGGAAAAAAATCACATACTTACCGGGTCACACACAAGTTCACTAGACGCGCTTTAGAAGAATTAACTTTTAGCTTTTTCAAATATTTTACTGATAGGTACACTAAATAATATGTAGAGTTGCTATGCTATCTCATGACTATCTATCTATATCTATATAAATAAAAATGAATTGATGTTCGTTAGTCTGATTAAAACTCGAGAACGGCTGGGCCGATTGAGCTGATTTTGTTTTAAAATGTTTTTCGTAGTCCAGGGTAGGTCTAAACGGTGAGCAAATACGCGCGCGATATTGTTTTTCTGTGACAGACAAAATTCCACGCGGGCGAAGCCGCGGGCGGAAAACTAGTTACATATAAATACAAAAACTGTTAAAACTGTTATATAAATACAAAATCTAAACAAAAACACACGTACAAAAATCTCATTTAGCTCCCATTTAACATGCTCAAACTCAATTTGTACTAAATCTATTTGCCAGAATTTAAACCTACCCTCGTTCCCGGTACACAGCGACTGCGTTGCATACAGGTCTCTCCTCTGGCACTAATTTCTTCCTCATCCCGTCTTTGTGCACTGACAATTGTTATGTGTTAGTATGTTGCTACGCGAGGAACAATCTAGGTGACCCCGATCCACATTTTGAGCTACGAAGATTGTAATGGCCTTTGCTTTGCGAGATACCTGACGAGCAATTTCGGGAGTGGAGTAGACATGAAGATGAAATCTTCTCTAATAAATTGCTTAACTTTCCAATGATTCTGTTTTAAACAGAAAATATAAAATTGCTGAAATATTAATCGTGGTTAAGTTGAAGCTCAGTATATTTAAGAATTAAACATTAATGAAAAATAGCAATAATGTGACTGAAAATATTGTTAGGTATTAAAAACTGACATGCGTCCTTTGCAAAAGCTTTATTTCAACTGAAACTTAAAATCATTCAAATATTTATTAGTACTCTGAATAGTAGCTCTGAATTATTAGTCAAAATCTTTTTTACTTGGTTAAAGTCTAATAGATTTGAAAGGTCGAAACACAGAATCAAACTAATATTTCAATGTAAACCAATCTCAGAGGGTTTATACCCTTGTATTTGAACAGTTGACAAATAAGTTTTATAGGTAGGTAGGTACACTAATTCCATGTTTTTCCTACATTATTAGCACTACCTTTACATTCAACATTAGAGAAACGTCCGTCCATCAATAAATATTGTTTCGTAAGTACACAGAACTTACAAGAACCGTGCACTAGACACTTCGCAAAAGTCTTAGCAGAGTGTCTGTTGGAAGCAAGTTCGACGTGTGTACATGAGCCGTGTACTAGTTTACCGTGAAGTTTACAGTGCCTCTATCGGGACAAGTTGTCTATCGAGCATAATAACATTATCCTGATTGGAACTCTCGATAAATTTACCTAAGAAAAGCGCGTTATTTAGGTTCCATCGAAGGTTGCATACACTTAAGGAGTGTTATACAAAATCTCATTTATTTTTGCAAGTTGGCTTTTAAAAAGAACTTTTACAATTCCTCTATTGAGTGGTTCAAATAACTTGTTTGTTAATATTTCTATGTATGTTTATGTGTCTAGAGGGTAGTAGTTAAGTCTCTTTGTATAAACAGTTATATGAAGTAGGCTTAGATTTGAGACTTGCTATAAAAATCATCATGAAAAATTGTTTTTATTATTATTCACGTCTAGGCCCAGAGTAAAATTGTTAATCTCTGAATGCATATTTTAATGAATTTTATGCCACCAAAAATTAAAGTAGAAACCTACCTGTAAAGCTAGCAAAATGGGTTTTCTTTTCGAAGAACAATTTGGCTTAAAATTTCACTCGTTCCAGTGTTAATAGAAAAAGGAAACGCTCTATCCAATAAAATACAATGTAACAATTTTTAAGACCCAAATAATTTTCCTTGAAATCTCCTCAACTTTGTGCTCGACAAAAAACAAATTGCAACCGTTTCATTAAACTTCTTGGAACAGATGATTCCAAAAAGTTTCGTTGTTCGAAAGAAAGAATTAAGCAGTGAAATCCCCAAGGAACGAGAAGGGTTAACTACAGTACAAGATTACGGTCTCTGATTAGAGTTCCTTCAACCTTCATTTTATGATAAAGGCGGTGTAATGAGAGGGCTTTCGCACAGAATGGGCTACATACGAAAACACACACCGTTCCCTCACTATATTGCTATATTGTTATAGGGAACGTGTACCTGAGAATAACTCCCCGAGGTTCCTCTGTTTTGAGAATAACTCTCCGATTCATCTGTTTTATTCATTAAACAATATACATAGGTACATTAACTCTGTTTATTGTATAAAACTACCTTATAAAATGAATTATTAGTAGTTTAGCCAGACAATAAAATATTAGTTATACTCACCCCCGTTACAACTAGTATTATTAGACAATTTATAATAAGCGTTTTCCAAGATCTCATCATCTTCAATGACTGTGGTGATTTTTGTGGTGCATTGAATCACCACAGTGATCAAGCTGACATAAAAAAGTTAGTTGAAATAACAAAAAAAGTAAATTGTAGTAATTTTGATAGGTTTGACGATAAAAATAACCTAAAAGGACGAAAAAAACAGTTTTATGAAACAAAGAAAACGTAAACTAAAATTAATACTTTTTCCGGGAAAAGTTGTTACGTTTTCGCAAAGTCAGTTACGGCATTTTCTCAGAAACTGTTGATATCGAGGTTCCGTGTGTGGTACATTAAGCAGTAAAGCCTTCAATTCGTTTTTGGTGCGCTTACAATAGAGCTGCGAAAGTGACGAAAATTGTGTTACATTTACGCTCTAGAATTTTCCAGAATAAAGTGTCTGTATCTCAACAATGCTATCTTTTCTTGAGTTTTCTATCATTAGGTATACTCGTCGTCGTCGTCGTTTCAGGTAAGGTATGACTGACGAATGGCAGCACATCAAGCTACACATTTTTCTTGCAAAATAGCCCTTCTTACAACTACATAAGATGCTACGGATCGTTTCACGACGACGCGTCCCACCAATTTTTGGTCGAGGGAAGCGCGGGGTGCGGGGAGTCTGATCCGAGCGTCATTATTTGTAGTGTGCGTGTGCACTGTGCACTAAAGGATAATTTAGCGTGTACGGATAACACTCAAACATTAGCTGAAGAATAGTAGGGCGCGTCTTCGTGGATGAAATGACCTAGGTATATTCAGTATCTGTTAGATTAGCAAGTATTATAACGTATTTCAAGTGACAAAATACATAACCTAATACTTTGTAACAAATACATACGGTTTGCTACATCTCTACTTACACTAATAATGCGGCTTTCCCGCCTGCCACTATAACTTATTACCCACTCCAAGCCATTTTGTTACGTAGGTACATATAAATTTACAGAACAACTCCAGTGTGTAACACACCTGGGTACTGTTAACGGGGTGTTTACTGCTGTGACTGATAACTCTTAACCCCTAATTAATTAGGTCTAATTTCATTAATTCATAATGGATACCGATACGACCTTATAAAGCTGAAAAATATTCAACAGCAAGAAATCTGTTATTTTATCTGAAAAAAGTTTGTTTTTATTTGGAGCGTGCCTCAGATGGGACATGAAATAAATAAATAAAAATATTAAATACCTAGAGGTTTTAAATTACTTGACCTTGGTTAGCAATTCAATTTGTATGATTTTTAAAATAAATTGAAATAAATAAAATCTTTGAAACAGCTTGTTTAATTAAAAAATGCAAACTATTAAATTTGAATTTTACTAGGCTTTCATTATTAATTAATTAGATCATAAATAATCTCGCCGACAAATACGCAATTAGTCTTTGGTTAATTGATTTGGGTTGCAAAATTAATTAAGCTCTTCAATTTAATATTTATCTGCAAGTTTGAATTACTATTATCTTCAGTGCTCTTTATTATTTTATAAACGAAACCATCAATTTAGTAATAGATTTAGTAATTTATGCCCGCGGCTTCGCTTGCCTGAATTGTCGTCTGTCACAGGAAAGTAATATTAAGTTTTTTAGGTAGTAGTAATAGTATAAAGGAGAACGAAGTGTAAAGAAAATATTACAAAAAACTCATCAACTTACAAACTTGACCTGTAATATGATATTAGTGTAGATGTTTATACGATTGTATTATTCACTGTTACTGTTGTACACTGTGATAAATTGTGAATTTCACCTATTATGAGACAAATAAATACTTTCTATCTATCAACTTTATTTTAAAGACTTAATGAAGCAGAAAGAAATAGAGAAAAACTTTTAAAAGCTCGGCCGTACCTATTCCAGAATCACCCTCACTGTAAGTACAGCCTAACTACCAAACAATATGTGAGTTTATTTTGTTGACAACAGTGATAATCGTAAAGAACTTCTCCCGTAAAGGGGAGATAAGGAAATTTGAATTTTACTATTGTTCTTTCAACATTAAAATATCCCTATAAAGTGTATTCCCAAACATTTGGCTTATTTAGTATTATTAAGGAACTCTGAGTAACGTAACTTAAAATAAATTGATTTTTAACTAGCGATAGTCAATCAGGAACTGAATATTCATCAATCGATTTGATTCCCTGATATAGGTACTCGTAGTGGAATGGAAATCGAATGGAAACATTCACATTTTAATATTAGAATGGATTTCAACGATCGAATTCCTTTAATTTCACATGGTAATCAGAACAGAAGTACAGGAAATATAGAAAAAATCTGCATTATGTATTTATTTACAATTTTACAACAAAATTTAATACAAAGTTGAAAAGCTTACAATGGTAGCTTTAGATGTCAAAGAAACAAAATGAATATAGGAAGTTTCTCCGACCAGAGAAGTTGAGAACTAATATCGTCTAAACCATTTACGTGCCTGTCGTAGGAATCTTGCTTCTTCAATATTGTTACTTGTAAAACTTAGGAACTAAGTATTCAAGCTTACTATCAATTGTAAAGTCCTCCGGCTTGTTTCTTCTTCCTTTTTGTGCTTCTGCAATGAAAATAATAGTTTCATCATCATCATCATCATTTCAGCCACAGGACGTCCACTGCTGAACATAGGCCTCTCCCAATGACTTCCACATCGCACGGTTGGTAGCGGCCTGCATCCAGCGCCTTCCTGCTACCTTTATCAGGTCGTCGGTCCACCTTGTGGGTGGACGTCCCACGCTGCGTTTTCCGGTACGTGGCCTCCATTCCAGAACCTTGCTGCCCCATCGGCCGTCAGTTCTGCGTACTATGTGCCCTGCCCACTGCCACTTCAGCTTGCTGATCCGTCGGGCTAATAGTTTGGTTACTGCTTATACAAATAAGTGACTTGCGAACTGGAGGTTACTACTAACTAGGTTCTATGGTTATAAGGAACAAAATTTTGTGTAAATTAAACAAAGTATTTTGTAGTGAGCTAAACCTGGTTTAGCTCTAGGTTAACACTCAGTTCGCAAGTCACTCATTTGTGTAAGCAGTAACGAACCATTTTTTTTAGTGTGTCCTTTGATAATTATGTTCTTTCTTTCCTTTTAAGTATAATATAATATACTCTAAAAAGGTTCTTTATAATAATTACTAGCGACTTCTTACGCGTGGAAACTTCCAACCCCCGTTTTAACCCCTTAGGGGTGGAGTTTCGTAAAATCCTGTCTTGATGAACACCTACGTTCTAAAATGAACCCCCATGCAAAATTTTAGACACCTAGCACTTGTAGTTTTTGAGTTTTCGTGATGAGTAAGTGACTTAATCAGTCCTTTCGCTTTTATAAATATAGTTTTAATTGGATTCTGAATCTTAGCATACTGTTACGATTTACGACCTGCTTAGTGTTTCTAGAAAAATACCTTTTCCTGAGGCTTTTATTGAAATACCTTTCCCGACTTACCTTGGAGAAGTCTATAAAGTAAAAAGATTAATTACTTTTAGGCATGAAAACAGGCTCGACATTGAAAAGTCAGTCCTTATCTTCAACTAATTGATGTGCCGAATCGCTTAGTAAAAGGTAGATATTAATTACTTATATATTTTTTGGTTTCTTTTTAAACCGTCCAACTTCCAAATTTTTTCAAAATCAAATCAAAATCAAAATTATCTTTATTTGTACAGACTAATTAAATTAGTACGTAGGTACTTACAAATCCTCAAATGCTCTTAAGGAGCCTATAAGTACATGTCTCATTCTTTTTTGCCCTATCAGCGCTTCGAGACAAACATTTGGCAAGTGCTGAGAAGAAGCGCCGCAACAAACTCAGTCACCACTGTCTGCTGGTTTATTATCCTACATCCAATTACCTACCTTACACAAGACTCTTACGCCCGTATTCACAAACATTACTATGAGGTCTCACATTGCGCGTAGATACACAGAGGCATAAGATGACACATGAACCAATCACAGAGCTGTATTCAACACTGTGCGTTCAATTGTGTTCTTCACTTAAGCAAGCATCGTTTGTGAATACGGGCGTTACTTTAATTTACTCAGTACACAATACTACATTACCCATTACCTTAATTATGTTCGTATACGTATTGTGAGCATTTCCTGCAAATTAAATTCCGAGTAACAAATCGATCTTTCCCCTTTCTTAAGGAACGTCTAATCCGAAAACTCATCAACTTTAATCTCACTTAACAAACTTGTTGCTTTGCATTCTCCGGGTGTAAGGTTACGAATAATCAGCCTTAAAGACCTTTTGGGTGTTTCTAACTAGAATCACTATGAAGGTTTGAAAGGGTTGGACTAAATAGCGAGCGTTTGTCCGGTTCGGCGTGAAAAGGGCTGGCTTCACATGAAGTGAGCCCTGATAATAACGGCCCGGGTAACGACGGCCGAGTCTCTTTACCGGGTCAAAAGGACCTACGACGTTGAGGACGTTTCAGCATAATGGAAGTAGGAGAAGTTAACCCACTACCTGAGTATATACGTACAACTTCATTTCATATGGTGGATTTAGTTGATTATTCTAATTAGGTTAGAATACGTGCCACTGCATGTGATATACTTTGCAGTACTTACGAAGGTCGACAGCAAGAGCTTCAGGAGCATTACGGTCCCTTGCTCACGTCACTACGACTGTAGCAAGAATCTTAGCTTGACCGGCAATGAAATCCAATGATAAAATTGTCTCGTGTATAGTTATACTGCCATTTAATCTACGATAGGATTTATTATTAGTTAAGCTGTTGTTGTTAGGTTTAAGTTGTTATTCATTTATCAGAAATTTATTGCTAAATCGCTAAAAAAACACGGAAGCTTTTTTCTTGTCTCGATAAGATTAATATAACAAAATAGTAAAAATATCAGTCCCACAACATACGATTAACCGTAGTTGCTTGTACATTTCAAAGCTATGTATTCTGTCAATCACACCATTTGCCAGATTGCTTTTAACATTGACCCCTAGTAGTCAAGTCACTGGTTGAATAGATTATCCCTTAGGCTTATTATATTTGTCTTCTTCTCTTTCTACCCATTTTAAATTAAAGTCAGCTCTTCTCGTAAGCCAGTCTTTAGTTGCTGTTTGTTGATCTAGTTTAATTAACTGTTCTGCTGAATAATTTAGCCTATTTGTGATACTACTCAATGTGCCTTCATTGTCCACCCACGTTGAGTACCTACATTTCTGCCTGTGGATGATTACTTCTTATAAAATATGGTCGATTAATCTTTGCTTTCCCCATTTTTCTTTTAGTGTCGATACGTCTAGAATATAATGCGAAAAATGTTCAATGGAATATTTGAAAGGTTTCATTATCCTTCATCATCAGTTTTATTACGATGAGTAAGATTAAATTTACGGGCAGGGTCTTTTATCTAAGGAAATATTAAATTGCGATTATTTTTTACAGTCTTGGAAAAATCGGTACCTTGTATGTCTATGTGATAGATCTTTGACAGTATTTTTATCTTCTTTTCACAATAAAATGGTCACATGAAAAATAATCCACTTAAATAAGATAAAATATGAATTATAATAATATTTTAACAGCAGCGTAACTCTATTACACTGCAGTAAGGCTATAAGCTCTTATAAAATTTTACACGTTTTCTTGATACCTAGCCAAGGCGTAATTGCATAAATTAGCGCTAGCACACGATCAAAGGAAGCCAAATGGGGTACGAGTGCCTCCCACTTGTCTAATTGAAGCATTCCATTACGTAATAATGGCCACTGAGTAATTATATCGGTGTCAAGCTCAAGCTACATAACACTAAGTCTGGGTGCTGGAAATATACTTTAAAGTTTAACTTTGCAATGTAATTTGATAGCTGAAATGCAACTTACGTGTTTAGGAGTAAAGAAAAGATAACAAAGTAAAATAATATGGCATAATTTATTGTACAAACAACTAACATTCTAATGTGAAAACTTTGCGTTTTTAGGGAAAGGAAATTTTAATCAAATAAAAGGATAATGATAAATGAAGTGTTAACGTTTTCGCATTTTAGAATCAGCTGCTGGTCTACTTGCACCCCCAGGAGTGTAGCCTGTGCGCTTAACTTCCTCCTGGACAGACTTTTTGTACTCATCCTCGGCTGTCTTAGCCAGTGCCTCTTCGTCGACATATTCCTCAACCACAGCTGTCACTCCCTCTTCTTCTGCTTTACGTTTCAACATAATCTCCTTGATGCGAGTCTCCAGAATATGCTCTCGTTTTGTTTCTCGATCGAATATCTGAGTCATTAGCTGTTTATCCTTATCACCAGGATAAATTAAATTTTCAGAAAGAGAGAGTAAGTACAAAACACCTTTTATATCAGCCATTGCTACCAGCCGACCTTCATCGTGAGGTTTGATTTTCTGCAGCGGAAACTTTGACACAGGCATAACAATGATTGGCTCTCGGTACTTTCTTAAAAGATCCCATAACTGAAAGTTCCCGGCAGAATTAACGGACATAAAGCAAGAAACCCTCTGCGGTGCCCAAATTACATCATTGATTGCGTGCCTTTGAGGAAATCCAGTAACAACAGGAGATGTGTGGACGTCATCACTCCACAGATTTACGGTCCAATCCCCACAGGTGACAAACATTTTAACGATTAATGGACTCCTGTGCAATGCTTTTACTGGCCCCCTCTGAGCACTAAACACCGCACTCATTATTTCATTAAATGTTTTACCTTTTCGGTTAACATTAATCACAAAACCAGTATCAGTGCCACATAAAAACTTAGTTGGAATTGTACGCTCAAACTGTAACGCACTTACGCCTTCTACATAAGCTAGACTTGCTTGTTCGCCAGGTGGAACCCTAATAGCCATCATCAGAGAATCTGTAGGCTGTGACATATCTCTTAGATCCCACCACATACATCTACCATCAGTTGAACCGCTGAAAAACTCAGTATTTGTTCGTGAAGCAATATACAGGACTGAAGTAACAGGATCTCTGTGGGCCAGATGCATTGGGCTTAACAAAACTGGTTCTTTCTTATCTCGGATGTCAAACATACAAACCCTTCCATCATTGAGTCCTGCTACAATCACAGTAGGCGAGGCGGGTGAGCAGACTAATTGCCAAATAGCTGTTGGGGGATAAAATTCTTGATATGGAGCATGTGGATTTTCCAAGTCCCATAAATAACAGGTGTGTACGGTATTTACTGGAGGCATTATGGGTATAGGATACTTTCGGTTACAGTATGACACTACCATCTTCGAATCGTCTTCGATCGTCCACGCAATCGATGAGACAGGTCTAGTGAATGGATCTTTGTATACATTAGTCAATCTGATCAATGATTTCTCAAGAGGTTCTTCAGGCTTCATGCCTTTGAAATACATTTCATATAACTCAACAGCATTGTTTTGTTTTACAAAATGTTCAAAATCAGAGTAAAGCTTGAGAACTGCATCTACGTAGTTATCGTCACGTTCTACGCGTCTACGGTATCTGGTGGTAGCTTCCTCATCCATGAAATTCACCTCTTTCGGCCAACCGCCTTCTCCATGATTTGCACCCGAATCTGTATACACTACCCTTTTCGTATTAATGTAGTGTTCCGATTGGTTTAGTGATACTTGAGCTTCACTATGCACTGGATTTCTTAAGCCATACTTTTTCTGTTCAGCGATATTAGGATCAATGGAGTCGAGTAACTGCACTGGAGCCTCACAGAACATCGGCTGCCTCCCAAAGTTTTTGCGTATTTTATTGTACGAATACGATATATCCATTTTGAATTATGTAATAACTTTGCTATTATTTATTAGCAGTCAAAATTTTACGAAGGGAACTTGTAAATAAAATTGTCAACCATGACAATAACTTGACATTATATAGTTCCGAAATACTGAACTGTCCTATGCATGACATTGACAGGGGGGCGCCACCGTCAATACCGGATCGCTGGTTCCGATTTTTGCCATGTCGGAAACCATATAGTTGAACGATGGTAGCGCCCTCCTGTCATTGAGTTTGGTGGGACAGTTCAGCATGGGTCATCTATACTCAACATCAACTAGTATTTTTTTAATATCTGTAACTGAAATCGTAAAGTTTTTATTTGATGAAATATACAGCTACTAAAGAACCAAAAGCTATAAAACGTGTTTATTTCTGTCTCAAGAAAATTCTTTAAAGATACAAGAAATCAGGTGAGATACAGGCCAAGAGCTTCCTCGTTGTAGATAAAAAAAAAAAAAAAAATCGAAACATAGTAAGTTAGTAGGTACACGCCTCTCAAAGAAAGTCTCCGAACATAACAGCTTTAAGAACCATTAAACCAAATGACATGGTCTCAAACTAATGTTTCACCCGTAAGGCTTGGAGTTCGCTTTACATTGGTAATTCAATTTACGTAGGAACGGTTTACACACATTGTACGTCTCTCGTGCGACTCAATTTCGTAGGATAGGCGCCGACATTGCAAGGATTAAGAGACACAAGTTTACGTAGAAACGTTTATTTACCAGACAGTACGACGCCTAAACTTACTGGAATCACAAAACTGCTGACACAATATTTCGTGCCCAAAACATTTATTTTTTTAGCTTAGTTCACAGAAAATCTTTCTGTAATCCGAAAATCGTACGTTAGGATTTTCTGGGAAATAAATAACACATTGTTAGACCATTGTAAACCAAGTATATAAAAGGGCAATGTAAGCTAAAAAAATAACATCGTACTAGTACGGTTGCTTTTTGTGCGAAAGAAGTAATAATGTGGTAAGAGCCAAAACATTTCAAATTCCCAGTAAAAAGTTACCATTTTAGATTGAAAGCGTTGAAAGTATTTGCAACTTTCAGCGATTTAAAACTTAGTATGATGCTCCAATTTTCGCATGTCGGTTTCGTAACTCATCCGTGTGTTATTGACCTAATTTTTAACTCTCAGCAGCCATATCTTTGGAATTTTCAACATCCAGTTACTGCAAAATTTCATTATGTATGGTCTACATTCGCTTATAAAAGAAAATGCTTCTTCGTCTGTTCTAGAGTGCCAAAAATATTCTTAAAAAGATTTTATCAAATTGACTACTTGCTACTCGTATGCCCTTTCGTTAACATGGCTATCGTCAAAGTAATCAAGGGTAAGACAATATGTATTTTACATTAATTAGTGACAAAATCAATATCGAACTTTATTTTCTCAAAGGAACCTAACCTCAAAATATTTGTAGAAAACCCTAAAAGACCCTAAATCCTTTAATAAGGAATATTGGCATTCCAACCCTACGTTATTGACCTAATTTGTTACCCACACTTATGTTAATGTGTGCTCACGCACACACCTCCCTTCCATATTTGCACTCGACGCTAGTGAGTGTAATGAAAATATTTCATTATCCGACGCCCGCTGTTTGCCGAGCCGTTCTCCTGACGAGGTAATTTTCTTTTGTTCCTTTCTAGTCCCTTATTAGTTTATTTTGGCTTTAGAATATTGCTGAGTTTTAAACCCCGTTAAAAGGGAAGCTTCTGCAGACAGACCGTGAAAATTTTTTGTAAAAAAAAAATTTAACGACAATATATTTTTTTAATCTTTTTTTTACTTTTTTGAGCTTAAAAGAATGTCATATACAATAGTTAAAACTAACTTGTTTAGCCTTGAAATAAAATGAGCCAAGTTTTAAAGTTAACCTATTTCTCCAGACCTGTCTAAAGCAGAATGCTTCTTCATTTATTTGTGTCACAAGGAAAATTGTAGGATTTAGGTTGAATACGGACGTGAATGCTTTCAGCGAAATGTGATTATTTTATCAACACTGGAACATATTAAGATGGCGCCCGCTAAAACTAAACTTGTATTAAATTAGAATTTATTTTTGTTGTAATATGTTAGTAATAATACGAAACTTAAGGATCAATGAAAGATATAAAGGGTGGAAACGATAAGTGATCTCACTCGATTATTTCAAAACTATACAAGATATCAAAAAACTACCCTTCTAATATTGTGTGCCTGGCATACATTTAGTATGGAAGCTGGGAACTTAATTTTCGGATAGATCCAATTTATTCTGTAACCTATTATTGGTACCGTTTGAAAGAGCTCGTGAAGCACTTTTAGGATCAGTAACCAGTTTTTAGATATCTTTTATAGTTTAGAAATAATCGAGTGAGATCAGTTATCGTTTCCACCCTGTATTTCTTATCTCTAATATCGTAAATTTTAATCTAATAAAAATTATTTTCATCAAATTACAGAAAGTATTCCTAAACTCCTACAACGAACCTTTCAATCGCAAACACTACGAAACGTAATAACGGAATATGAAAAATATAAAACCCCTGCAATTACATTACGGGAACATTTTTGTCTGAACACAGATCTCCCTGTGGGGAGAGCGGGGCATAATCAACATTATCGCAAAGTATTGGGGTACATTTTCATTAGTGAATGTCAATACGTTGGTATCTCGCCGTCGTGGCGTCGGTAAAAGCTTTTCCTAATATACGGCACACAAATATTATGCCATCGCAGCCATAAGGTAGCGTCTACCATTCATAACTCACACACTCCATGTCCTAAATGAGATTGGCGGTCGAAGTTTGGTTTTTATAACCCCATGTGTTATAAAGTCGCTGATCTGAGTTTATCAATACTAATCATAGCTTCATAAGAACTAGTGCAATTAAGTAATTATTTTTTTAAGTTACGTGAATAAAAATTTAACTAACTATAATGTCTCACTTAAAATAGAACTTCTCTTTGTAATCAAACTTGGGACATACACTCGGCATCAAATAAATCGCACCTCCCGCGACAAGCACTTATGAAATGTATACATCCTCACTTCCCACCAACATTGGTACCATTTGAAAGCCTAGTTCTAAACTTCATTTCCTTAAAGGAAAGGTTTTTACCCCAAAAATGTGTCTTTACAAGGATCCAAAGTCACTTCTTTAAAAAATAGGTAGTTACGCTATAGCCATTTTTTATGACTATAAAACTGTTAAGTTGGGATTAATCGCTATCCATCTGTTAAAGAGGACACGTGAGATCTTTATTTGGTTTTATAACCATAAAAATTGGTCTAATTGATCCCAGAGGTGAGCCCAAAGTGAGGTCTATTTTCAAGTCACATTTATGGTTAATCATTTATTTAGAAATGAAATGTATTTTTTTTAAGGATATTTATTGGGCTTTCAAATAACACCAATATTGTTGGGGTACCATGATTGTGTCAGAAGAAAATCTTTATAGTTCGCGTCGCGGAAGGTGCGGTTTATTTGATGTTGAGTGTAGTTTGAAAAATTGCTAAAATCTGTTTTCGCTTACTTATTTTAACTTTATCAATATATGTAGTAACTTCACACCTTTACACACAGTAAACATAAAAATACATAGCAAGCCTACAAACGGCAACCTTTACGATTTGAATATAAAATTCAATTCACATTTCACAGTTTTGTATCGGAAGGAAATAAACTTTTATTCCTATTCGCAACTTTTGTAGTTGTCTCCCATAGGTTGGGTGCAGAGTTTTAAATTGAAATTTCCGCGGCGAAGGTATATAAAACTGCACATCTCACTTTACATGTTTGTTGTAAAATTGCTCTTACTGCAACAAAATTAGATGCTAATATTTAGGTTGCTGTGACATCATTACAAGAAGTGTGAGTCGATGGTAGATGCGCAAATAGGAAAAGTGTCGTAATAAAATCATGAACTTCGTTACCCAAATCGATTCTAGTCACGTTCGTCCAGATCACGTTCTTCTTTGTTTTCCTTTTTTGTAAGTACCTAATCTGTGATTTTTGTCCGCCACATATGGGCTTGATAAATCGCCGAATCTTGCTCCCGATCTACAAAAACGTGTAATATGAAAAATTGATCTACAGATCTGACTGGAATTACAACACAAGCCGCTTCTCCTCACGTTCCTCGGGGATTTCGGTGTGATGATATGTTGTTGTGAATCTTGTAAACAAACGGGTGGGTATTATTATTTTAACTATGTTGATACAAGAAAAACTCATTAAACAATAACAATATAGTTTTTGGTTCCATTAAGTAATAATTCCAAAAAAATATTTCAAGTCCCTAAAAGTACCATGGTAGATACCAAACTATGTATGATTTATGTTATTAGAATTAAAATTTAACAAATAACAACGTATCAAACTTTTATTGTACGATTTAAAGAGAAGCTCATAGCTATTTAAATGAATAATAATAATTTTTATCCGTATCCAAACACAATATTTTCACAGCTGCAGTTTAGTGCACTCCCAATGAAATTTATGGTCGTATAAATAACAAACTCAATATTGCACTGTAAGCTTCATAAAATATCCGAGAAGGCGTGAATAAGCTCTGTTAACTTATGGTGCCTATTTAGTTAGGTACTACAATTTAAATCCTTATGATTTAAATTTGCATACCTTCACACGAAATCCACGATTACTTCGACAAATTCGTTTTCGTATTCGTTGTAAGATTATAATTTTGACTTTTTAAATGAGATAACTTATTGTCAAATAAAAATATGACACCCTTGTAGAAATCATGCAATAATTTTGTCATCATCATTTCAGACACAGGACGTCTACAGCTGCTGAACATAGGCCTCCCCCAATGATTTCCACATCGCCCGGTTGGTAGCTGTATGTATCTAGCGCATACCTGCCTATTTTGCTTCATTATCATCATCATCATTTCAGCCATAGGACGTCCACTGCTGTACATAGGCCTTCGCCAATGTTTTCCATGTTGATCGATTGGTAGCGGCCTAC